AATTGTCAAAGAAAATAATGAAAGTCGTAAAATATTTTATGCCATTAAATACATTTTTTTTGCATCTGTAGTTTCCTTTTTTCCTGCTATTTGGCCTTTTGCTAACAATTTAAAACCTGAAGTTGCACAGGACTAATATATTGGAATAGTATTATGCATTTATCTGAAACCAAAGCAATTGTATGTAATTGAAAACATTCATTTCAGGCTTTTGAAAGGTTATTCCGAACTGTTGACCAGTCACCTGTGTAAGTCATTAAGATTTAAAAGGCCCAGCTGTGTGCTGCTGTGCTGAAATATTGAGCCAGATTCATTGTTCTCAGAGTATGCAGTAGTGCCTTTATAGGATAAGCCCTCATATCATTGTATTCATTTCGCTGTGGTAAGTAAAAACTGATCCTAGACAAAAGCTGTTTCTGACCCCTCTGAATGAGGTGGTGGGCTTGAATGGGTGGTAAGTGAAGGTGGGTGGCTTGAATGGCTGGTAAGTGAAATGTGATTTCGGAGTGTCTCTGTGCTGTGGTCAAGTGTCTATGAGGATATGTATGGGGAGTGCTTGAATGGATCACATGCTGAGTCACATGGCGCTATTTAGCAGTTGTTTGAAGCTGACAAGGTGGGACCAGCCCGATTGTGATACGTACTACTTCTTCCAACTAGTGAATGAAAAGCTTCGGCAAAGAATGCAGATGATGGTAAATTAGACAGAATTATTAGGGTAAGATATGATGGAAAGGTGTTACTGATGAATGTATCATTAAAACACATGCTATCCTGATCATCTGGAGGGTGGAGCTGTTTTTATTTTATTCATGAAGCTGAAAACTATAAACAAGCAGCTATAAGTTAAGCTAAACTTAATCATTACTAGCATGCATTTTAATTTAATGTTTATTTAATAAAATTGATTACTTTTATTTAATTAATAATCTTGCAGAAGTGTTAGCTTTTCCTAACTTAAATTAGCCTAAACTGGTTTGTGCAGTGCATGTATTTGCAATGAAAAACATTCAATTTGAAGATAAATATTAATGCACTTGTATGCCTGCAGTTGTTTGCTGAAAATATCTCATGTAAAAGACGACATCCTCAGCTTCTAACCTTGCACCGATTAACTTTAGTCTGAGCATCTAATCTGTTGTATAGGTGATATTCATTCAATCAATTTGTACCTTTCAGATATATTATGATAAAATTAACACATTTACAAGAAGTTGTCAGTGTAAAGTGAGTTTGACACACCTGCTGTAGATGAATACTGTGATTTCACTAATCTTTCCTGAGTACTGTTTTGATAGTCTCTTTAGTAAGCAATTTCAGACACAGCTCTAGGTAAACAGGCTGCCATCTTTTACAGCTAGACCTGCAGCCCACTGCAGACCTCTTAAGTGTGTCGGCCCCTTTAAATGTGCCAAGCGTATTAATGAACTGTAGCAGTGCAGTGCGTCATGATGCTGATGTGATGATGTGGGTTTGATGAACTGTTCTAATGGTATTATATTCTTTAGTCAGAGGGTGTGGAGAAGGGCCTGTGCAGGCTGAGTTATGATAAGCACATTGTGGAATGATGTGGGAGAAAGTGAGGAGTGCACTATTGAATGGGGATTCCCTGCAGATAGTGGAGTGTAATTACAGTGCTCACGCACACGTAATGTACACACATATACACACACACACACACACACACACACACACACACTCATTTATTGCTTGCTCTGTGGCCTGTCCGCCTTTCTGCACGTCACCGCACAGACCCGGGGGTTATTGCAGAGCTTGTGGAACGTGATCTGAATTTAAACTGATAGAAGTTGATTATCTGTTTCACAAACAATGCTTTGAGTCTCCTAATGCTGGCATTTGTCCTGGCCCTGATGTTTCCCTCTGAGAGCTTAATCCAATAGAAGAGAAATACCTGCCACTGCCGATTGGAGAGGCTGCACTGAGGATCAATCCATTTCATTTGAAGTGGCCAGATGGAGGAATATGCACAAATAATGACCTTTTCTGGACCTAATGGCATTTTTTTGGAACCATGTTTTCATGTTTTAAAGGGTACTGATTGTGCCTTTGCTTGTGCTTATGATATGCCTTGCAATATATTCAAGTGGATTGGTGGATATATTATAGTTACACTGACCTGTGTCACTTTAACCAAAATAATTTGCATTTCAAATTGTATGAATATCTTGATTTATCAAAACACCCATAGAAACTCATCTAAAACTGTGATTGGTCAGGATGCTCACAGCACGCAGTAAAAACACTTTGATTAGTTAGATGGCTTGCATATTGCACCCTTCTGTGATATCAATATTACAAAGGCCAGTATCTTGATAATGATTATCACACAGGATATTCTGCAGCCTCACCTTGTTCTTAAACATTTGTTTATGGTAGCATTTGTTTTAATCAGAAATGGGTTGAAATTCATATGTGGGTAGGTTTTTTTTTTATTTATGAACTTACTTGACAAATGTTTTGCATTTTTCATTTGATAATGTGTAGTGAAAGAGCCTTATAACCCTAAGGGACTGGCATGGTGGACATAAATCTGCTGAAGGCCATTCGGCTCTGCATAGTTGAAATGGGCTGCTAGTGACTAAGTGGAGACTCTGGGCACTGCAGCTGAGAAAGTGGTCAGGTGACTGATGCAGCTGTACCACAAGCTTAGAAGCTGCTGTAGAGGCAGAGTGTCATCTACTGGCCAACCTGGCGCATCACAGTTTCTACAAAGAGACAGTACATTTAACTGGACTGCATTTCCTAGGTGTCAAAGCACAGCAGTTATTATTGTTTGATAAAGAGGGTCACTTCAAACCCCCTTTCTAACATAACGATGATCTTTATGCTGTAAAGCACAGTTTTGGAGATGAGACTCAGCTTTTACATGTGTGAGAGTATGGCTCTGGGGGCCCGATACTCAGTACACTTAGGACAGTTATAACCCACTAGGTCCATTGTATCTTCAGAGCCTTGGTTATAACTTGCTGTTTCATCAATTCTCAAAACATTTTGGGGTGCCATTTCATCACCAGTCATCACCAGCATAAACAGCCTTTTCTGTGGCCATTATTGTAGTAAAATTTAGGATCACTTCAGAACAGTCATACCAGGCTAAGAAAACAAGAAAACTGCACCAAAATCAACAGAAAAAAGTAAAGGACTATACTTAAATTTAGCCTACAATAATACTGACTTTGCTTAATAGCAGTAAAAAGAATAGGATAAAGATTTTTTTTCTGAAATTCTTTTTTAATTATGTATCACTTTTTAAAGAGCACAGTGTGATTCCAACAACATATAGTAAATTGTCTTAATACTTAGGCTAACTTAAAATAAGCAATTATATAAAACAAAACTTCCATTAGAACATTGTGATTTACCTCACCCAGTTGAGGATCTCTGTTTTTAGTTTGTTTCCTTTATTTATGCATTTACATGTAGTAACATAAACAATTTGGCATTAACATTAAGCACATATGTATATTTAAAACATAAATATTAATGTACAAATGCATATTGTTTTCACTAGAGGGCAGAGGGCAATGATGTTTCATGTGGGCTTTCTCACTCTCTTCCCATTGGCTGCTTGCATACTGAAGCACTCTCTGTCATTGGTAGATACCAGGGGTTACGTCACAGCTGCCTAGGATGTCCTGTTCTCCTTTTGAGAATGAGGCATGGGGAAGGGTGCTAGCCAATCACAGAGCAGTCATTGGTCATGAAGGTCATAAGGCCATTATGATAGCTGTCGTTAGTAACCTTCATGAAGCTTTGAGAATCCGGCCTCTGGTGTGCATGAATGCTCAGTATGCTGTGGTATATGCAAATATACAATGCAGATGAAATGCATAGATTCTATAGGACAACATTGTTGTGTTTGATTTAGCTTATATTTCATATCTTACCTTATATATCAACAGCTATAGACTTTGACTTTGTCCTTTTTAACTCATGCTTTCTTAAATTTGCAATGGAGCTATACGGCTAATATAATAACAGTTCATGTCACCTCAGCTTGTAATGTTAGCTACATTAGCTTTGTAGCTTCAATGCAAAACTAAAGAAACAAATTTCAGACACCAAACATGTCTTGGCTGATCAAATACATTTGGTGTGAGAGGGAAATTTTGTAAATTAGGCTTTTCAGTGAGTCATACCTTTAAAGGAGAAAAGTGAATTAAAAGGCAAGAATAGCTGCTTTTTGCCTCAACATAAAAGGGTTAAGCAGAACAACAATGAACATACATTCAGGTGTAGAAGCTTGGAAAAAAAGTGGCCTTGTGGACAGTATATGGGCATATGAGACATCAGAGAGACACTCTGTCTGATGTGGACCTTGGTTTGCTTTTGGCTTCGTGCAGCTTTTTTCCCCAAACCAGCTGTGAAATAAGCCAATCGGAGCTTGCATGTTGAGTCACATGACCTGAGTCTGCATCAAGACATCACTAGCCCTTGTAACCTCCATCAGTACCATCAACAGAATAGGAGATGCTGAAGCAAGAGATAGAAAAGAGAGACAGAAGAAAATGTTACACTGCAGGAAAAAGGAGAAATTGAGTTCATTAGAGGGCCCGTATCATGGAAAATGAAATTTTCAAACAAAAGAGTTTGTCATGGTGTTTTACAAGCGAAGCCTTTCTTGATACACTTTCTGTCTGGTTTTGGGTGAGAAGACAAATGCAGCGCATGTGATCTCCTCTGTCTGCTTAGATTGTTCCTTGTTACAGAAAGAAAACAACTCACAGCCTCAGACAAAACATAAAAAAATACTGAACGTGGGAAGCACAGCCAAAATCCTTCTGTTACAATACTACTGATCAGATATGAGCGTGTATATGATGTACTGTAGTAGAATCCAGCAGGGGTTTGACATTGTGCCTTGTGCCAGGTGGAGGTGCCATCATGATTCATGCTGCTATATACAGTGCTGGGCCTGCTGACTAAATGGATCATTTATTCTGAGTCATTGTCCCCTGTTGCTTTTTATGTTTTTCTAGGTACTAGTGACCCCTATGTGAAGTTTAAGATCGCAGGGAAAGAAGTTTTCCGCAGCAAGACCATACATAAGAACCTGAACCCGGTATGGGACGAAAAAGTCAGCCTTCTGGTGGACAATCTGAGAGAACCACTCTATGTCAAGGTAAACTATGAGTAAAAAGGACATTGTGTGAATTAGAAGTGCATGATATTTTGAGATGGGAAATATACAAATTTAATTATTATTATTGACCTGATGTCAAATTTATTGCCAGGATTTGCAGTCAGACATTACAATTTCAGCTTGTGCATGCGCTGATGCAGCAATAGTTACTAAAGGTGCTTGGGCAAGATTCCTAATGTAACATTTCGCCTACCATTGAAAGACACTCTGGATTTGTAAGTGTCTGCTAGCTATATAAATCTTTACAGTAATTGTCTTGTCTAATTTAACCATTTAACCTTGTCTAATTTTATTCCATGGCTATGTAAAATTAGCCAGTAGCCAGGATTCTATCCAGCTGTTGAATTAAACATCAGCTGAATTAAAGAGGATGTCCTGAAATGTCCTGGAACATTATGCAAATTAGGCTGTTTCCATTGTCAGCTGTCTAAAATACAGTGAGATTCTCTGTGTCACATTCATAAAAACACTTCTGAGAAATACAGGCTGAGGTTTACAAAGAAATATTTAATATATAGCAACTTCTTGTTGCTGTTTTGTTTAAATTTTAGGCTGTATTTATATAGTAAGAGCACAGAGGCAGAATGCGCTTACAAACATCGTTATGTTTTTTCTCTGATAAAATAAAAGCACGTTCACTGGAACCAGCTGCCTTCTCTCATGTTTCATAGCTACTGCTGGGTAAAAACAGAAATACTGAAGCAGACTTAATTCCATTAACACATGCATTATTTATTCAGAAAATAATATTTCTATAGAAAATTTATAATTTAATTTTATCTGCAAAACAAAATGTATCCATCTTATGTGAGCATGCAAGTGTTTGTGTAGATTTTCAATCATCGATTATCGGTTATGGTTATTGGCTCATAAATTCTGTATCAGTGAATCCCCAGTATGAATCGTTTACTTGATGTTTTGGGGGACATCAAATGAATGATTCATTCATTTAAATACTTTTTGACAGCTTTTACAACTTTTTCTGATTTCAGTATGAGACTTTTTAAAATTCCTAGTGATTTGCTGTATGTTTGAACTCCCGTCTCTCTCTCTCTCTCTCTCTCTCTCTCTCTCTCTCTCTCTCTCTCTCTCTCTCTCTCTCTTTTTCCCCTGCAGGTCTTTGACTATGACTTTGGGCTGCAGGATGACTTCATGGGCTCTGCGTATCTTTATCTGGAGTCCCTGGAGCATCATAGGTCCTTTTCAAGCCTTGTGATAGTCCATATCTAACAGTCTTATTCCACTGACTTTCGAATTGGAACCCATTTAAGCTTAGCGGCAACTACAGTGCCACAGTTCATATGCCTCTTTTCTTTTTTATAAAGCTGTACTCATTTTTTTGAAAGTTCACATTTTGTATGGAGGACTTTTAAGGATATAGGGAAATTAAATGTTGAACCTGTGTGAATGTTTGTTGATAGCACATTAATGTGCATTTAAATCACATAGACAAATTAATGTAAAAGGGTGAGATTGCCCTCTAGTGTGTTTTTATTATAGTGCAGCCATCAGTAAATTCTGCAGTGTCAGTGTGTATGTTCTGTCTTGTGTATTTGACAGCTGTAATTTTGTTGGTACTTATTTAGAACCCTGGACGTGACCCTTGACCTGAAAGACCCGCATTACCCTGACCATGACCTGGGCACTTTGGACCTGGCAGTGACTCTCACACCTAAAGAAGGGGATATGAGAGAAGCTGTGAGTGTTCTGCCCCATTGCGTTTTCTTGTTCATTCATTTTCCCTCGTTCTCCCTGATGATGGGCCCTGACGTGTGTGTGTTTTTAGAATGGAAGCGCTGCTGTGTGGTTTCCTCTGGATCCATTGTGAAATTATTGTTTGTCAATATCATGGGGTCATTTTGTTTTTCTTTTCTGGACTTCTAAGGCACTTTAGTAGAGGATGCACTGAGTTGCCAGTTTATTAGGTACATGCACCTTGCACATACAACGTTTGTGGCTGATACCGATTTTAGTGGGCTAAAATATTCAATAACAGATAATATTGACCTGGATAATTTTTCATTTGTATTTTATATTTAAATTTTACACTTGGTTTTTACACTGGTTTTAGTTATACGGTGCTTATTGTCAATTAAAATCCAGAAGAAGGAAATGGGAATAGAAAGCCAGTATTAATATTCTCACTGACTTTTAATAGCGATCATGTTTTTATTAAAAGAAGTCTGAGCAATTAATGAATCGTTCATGCTAATTCATCATGTTACTCACATTAATCAATTTGAAATCACACTGGTGGCACATATATGGATATACACAGTTAGTTATTTAAAGCACATCTTTTCAGAAAGGTTTATAGTCTTAAGTTGCTCTGTATTGATCCTGTCTCTTGTATTGACTCCAGGTCATAAACTTTAATGACTGCACTGCACTGTACATAAAAATCAACTCTACAGACATTCAAATGATCTCAGTGATTTGCCTGTTGTCTGTAGTTTAGTTGATAACAGCACATTTTGTGAATAATTCTATTATTTTTTTCCCTTTAGTTTCACAGCTCTCCTAAGTGCTTGTCATAGCAGATATATTAGTCTCCCCATTAGTAGAAAATGACAGATAGGCTCAGTGGGCTAGCAGAAGCAAAACAGCACCTTAAATGATCCATATATCTGTAGCTCAGAAATATACCACTCAGAGAGATAATGCGTTCATTAAAAAAGAGCCAGCATTGTTTGGCAGTATTTCAAGGAGCGAGAATCTCCTATGCATGCATCTGTCCTAATTGCATTTAGCTAAGTCTCTCTTTAGACTGTTCTAAAGTAGGGATATATGTAGAGACATGGCTTGGATTTTGTACATTTAATTTTTCCGTTTAGCATGTGTGATATAGATGTAACAAACTCACAGAGGAAATATAATGTGCTGTTTTATCTGATCTCTTCGTAATGCAGCAAAAGACTTACTGAAGAATAAGAAACAAGGCTATCACATGTTAATTTAATGTAACACTGATGTCAATCCAGACTTTGGGGTCCTAATGAAATAATTTGTTGATGCAGTTGTTTTCTGACAGGATTATAGTTTTTGCCTTATCGCTCTCTAATGACAGACGAGGGATCATGCTCACTCAAGATTTCAAAGCAGTTTAAGGTCATGTTTCAAATCTAAAGTGTAAATGAGTAAAATGGTCTCAAAGTATGTACATTTGTCCATATATGTATACATGTAGTACATCTATGTTCTTTTTTCAGTGTCTGTGAAACATTTTAAGCTCTGGATGGCAGTGCTTCCTTTATTTCCATGTGACCGGGTGTGTATGGTGGCTTGTGTAGTGGCTGCCGCCCCCAGCTTCCCTTGGCTGTCCATCCCAAATGACCAAGAACCAGCTTTTAATATGTCTTTAGGACCATCTTATCATTTAGCGCCTTTAATCTAGGGCTTTGCTAAAGAGTACATAACACCTTTATGATGCGTATCAGCAATGCATACTAAAAATCTTACAAAAATAATCTGCCTTGTACATTCAAAAATGGCAAATGGCATTCTGTATTTAATCACAGAGTTTATTTCTTAGAGATAAAAGAGAATCTTTTTAATATTCAAGCCGTCAATATTTCATCCTACTTACAAAGGTGTTATAACACTCTTAAGCCAAGGGACTTTCCTTGTCAGTGTCCTCCCCCCAGGGCTGAACTAAACTCAGACTAATAGCTCTAACAGCCTCATCCCACTGGGGGTGACAAGGGTGGCTATATAACTGCTTTGTCTCATTTACAGACCATGCTTTTGAGAAGGAGCTGGAAAAGATCCAGTAAGGTAATATTAGCATGACCCACCTATACTGATGCCCTTTCCTCCCTACCCTCTGCAGTGCTGTGCTCAAATTGAAGTGGGCGCCAGTGCCTCTATCCTCCGCTTTTTTATCCTAGACACTGTTACTTCCATTTCCAACCTTTATTTTCTGCAGGCTGCAATATACAGAAGAGTCACAGTGCCGCCTGGTGGATGCAGTAATGACTGCATAGTCCATCTACTTAATGTTTAAACCCCTTAAATTCCCAGGTATATTACAACCCAATGCAAACTGGCTGGGTTGTTCTTAAATTATAAAATTGAGGAATGGAAACCTGGACTCGCTGTTGGGTCCTGCCCATTAAAGGCGTTAACATTATATCGTAAAAGCAGCAGCAAGTAGCCTCTTCAGAATTGGGTGTATTCAGAGGTTTCAGGGTGTATTGCAGCAACTGCTTGAGAAAATAAAGCAACTCCTTTTTTCTTTTGTCATTACTTCATACAGCGTGGGCTACACAGGGGCCTGAAAAGCTGAGCATTTTTTTCAGTGTTTTTAAACAGCAGTGCTGTGATTGATTTGCATGATCATAAAGATTTCATGTAAAAAAAGAAAAAAAAAATGAAATAAACAGACAATTTTGAGTACTTTGCAAGTCAGAAACCTCCCTTCATTTATTTAATTTCCAGATGAGACTCCACTAAGTACGTTGTTCATTTTTCTGCACCAGGAATAAAGCATATATTTAACAGAAAATTACAAACAATTTTATTATTATCATATAGTATTTAGTGTGCCTTTATTACAGCTTCCATTCTTTTTGTGTGCTTTCAGTTTTTCAAATAAATCTGTAGTGATATTCTTCCACACCTCCAGAGTTCAGTCTTTAAAATTGGTCGCATTTTTGTCCTCTCACGATCCCAGTTATCCCAAACACATTCAGTGATATTGAGGTCTGGATTGAGGTCTGCTGTTCTGAGAACACACATAGCATCTTTGTTTGAATTGCAATTTTTCTGTTTCCATTTCTCAGTAATGACTTCTTGACAGCTACACATCCCTTTTTACCCATAGTGTTGAGTAGTAACAGAACATCTTTGAGTGTGTTTACATGCAGTAATCTGATCATAATCGGATTTCTGCAGTTACCCGATTATTCAAAAATGTCATGTAAACACCATACTCCAATCTAGAAATCTGATTAAGAAATCCAATAAAGGGAGCTGGATTTTAGCTCAGTAATCAGATTTCTCAGTGCGTGTATACTCTTACTTGGATTTCTGTCGGATTTCTCAGTCTGCGCATGTGCAAGAATAACAGCAGTGCCTGAAATAAGCAAGAAGAGTTGCTGCGAGATGGCAGCAAAACACTTTTGGAGCAGCACTGAAACCAAACACGAAATAAAGGATTTAAAAATTCTTCATCTTCTAGATGATGTATGTTCATGTTTTCAGGTAAAGTGGCACGAAGTTTAAAAAAAAATGCGGCATGAAGTTTTACATAACGTTTATGTCACATCTTCTTCTGTAAGTTTATTGGCTAGTTGCAAAGCAGAAATCCGATTACTGCTCGTCTCATGTAGACCCAGAGTTTCCCATTATCTGATTACTCAAGAGCATGTAAACGTGTTGATTGGATTACTGACAAAATTTGATTTTCTGCAGTTATCGAATTATTCAGTGCATGTAAACACACTCAGTGTTTTTTTAGACCTGAAGCAAGAGTGGTGCTTGATTTTCTCCTGTTTCTCAGATGGTGAAAGTTTTGGTGGTCTGCTAGGTCTTGGCACAGTTGTTAGGAGTCACATTTTCTCTAATCTCCTCAGAAATATCTTCTGAAAAATAATAACTTGTACTTAATGGCCATCTGGAAGTTAAATAAATGAAAGGTGATTGCTGACTTTTATAAAATACTGTATGTACTAAAGGGGATAAGCAATGTGTTAATGCACAAGACAAACTTCATAACTGTAGATCCAAGTTCGTCTGCTGTACCAAGGGCCATGTAAGTGATACAAACTGATCAGAAACATGGCCACCAATACTGCCAATGATTGACAATACCATACATGACTGTACAGTAAAAAATAAGTTCCAGTTTTGTCTCAGGCAAATTTAGAAGAGAAATAAATAAACATAAGTACATGTAAAACGCAGAGGAATCATGGCGCTATCAGTTTCTCCTGAGGGTGGGATTCTGCTTCTTTTCCCAAGTGTGCCTTTCTAAAGAATCCATCCCTCAGTACTGTTGCCTCAGAACTTTGAGGAAATGGTCAACTCTTAGGATTCATGTACATTTTTAATTTCTTCATCATCTCCTAAGTTGACCCATGAGCTGAGGTTCCATTACAGATGTGTATTGATGAGCTTTGCCTTACTTTTTCTTGTGCTGTGAATGGTTGCATATGGAGAAGGTGGCATGCTGGTCTGGGGTTTGTCCATTGTCACTGCTCCATGCATGAAGCATATCTGTGAGCCTGAAAGGTCCTGTACTAAAAGAAAGTCGCCTTGCTTGGTGATAAAAAGATTTAATATCTTAGGTATGTCGTGTTGTTCATTGTAGTTATTACTTGGCCAATGCAAACTCCATTCTAGCTAATTTAGTAGAGAGTTAAACTAAGAGTTAAACAAAGTCCTGCTAAGATTGGATTTAATTTCTACCCAAGTTTTGGAATGCCCCCAAAATGTGAAAGTGGCTCTTCAGCATGTGAGAAACGACGCCCTGCTGAAACACATCCTTAGCCCAAGTCTTTGAAGCTCCAAAGTGGGCCATGTTGAGTGGGACTCGGGAATACTCTAGCAGCACTAACGCTAACTACTTCCACAAGGCTCCCTCCACACTTGGGTGCCTGTTCATCTATTTATACACCATCTCTCTTTCAGGAAGCCCACATACTGTAAATGATGTACTCAGTATGTGCAAACCAAGCAATATTTATAATTATGATGCAGCCTCAAAATCACTGTTAAGAAAGCTCTGAGATCTAAAGCAAAGCTAATGTTAGCACAGCCAGCTCATTTGCTTGCAGTTTAAACTCAATTTTTACTAAAAACTGTCTTTGAGAAGCTCTGTTTTGCTTGCCTTTTTCTCCCATGTGTGTCTGACCCAATTTGAACTACAATTATTTTGACACAAATACTTTTAATTCTAAACTTCAGACAGGATTTTGCTGTTTTTATGTGCAATTAGCATTGCAGCAAAACCGATGCCCTGTTCTCACATTGCTTTTGGCAGGGAGCTCTCTCATGCCCCCTCCTCCATTTTGCATTCTGGCTACTGGAGTGAAACTAACGTAGGTTGGGGCTTTTTCGTGGCTCTGCTAGAGTCAGCACACTTAACGTTAATATCTGGAGAGAAACGCATTAGCCGCCTGCTCCCTACATCAAAGCTGTGTGTTTTGCGGGGAAGGGTTTGCACAGAGTTTAATGAAATGCACTTGAAACAAAAGCTGCACTAATGAGGCCTCTAAATTAAGCACAGAGACTGAGACAGAGTTCTCTTGTATAAATGTGTTTACTTGACAAATAATGCCTGATGTCTTACTTTGCTGGTAGAGTGGTGCATATACAGTGTTCAGAGAAGTACAGACCAAGGAGTCAAAGACTTGATTAGAGGTTTTCTAGTCTAATCTGTGATGTTGTTTTTGAATAGGATGCAGAACATTGAATTTTTCTGTGTTGCCGTGTGAAAATGAAAAGACGTTTGTTATGCCTTTGATTGCAGTGTTGGCTGTTGTGTCTGTGTGGCTGTGTGCTGTGTATCTGTATTTGTGTGTATGTGTGATGAACAAACATTTCACTTGTACATTTTCAAGGCGGTATTTTCTTTTGCGTCCATTTACAGTGAAGTGGCTGAGTGATGTTTTATGTCCGCCTGATTATATGCATGTAGGATTTTAAATGTACTTTTATTAAATAATGCATTTGTGTGTTTATTTAATTGGCAGCAGCAGAGTCTGAGGTTATCAGATGTCCACAGGAAAGCCCAGCTATGGAGAGGAATCGTCAGCATTAGTTTGATCGAAGGCCGTAACCTCCAGCCCATGGACAATAACGGCTTAAGTGACCCTTATGTCAAATTCAGAATGGGCCACCAAAAATACAAAAGCAAGGTAGTCCACTACACTAACAGCCTTTTTCTTACGGTTTAGCAGAGCTACACAATATGAAAAATACTGGTGTTGTAATTATATTATTACGTATTGCAATTGTGCTGTGCCATGCAATATGTTAGGAAGACATTGTGAATTAATAAGGTGTCATGGTTAATTCTATACCAGCAAGCCGCTTTGAGATTTTAGCGATCTCTCTTTATCCTCTTTCTAAAGGCCCCCTAGTGGCCTTTCTGCTGGTGGGATGGAAATTTACCAAGATAGTTTAAGCAATATAATCAAATAAAATAACTGTGTACTGTGTATAAGTCTTGTTCAACTCTGTTATCAGGTTCACTAAAACACTGTATGTAAAATATTGTGACTCTGCGTTGAGCTGCCGACGAGCAATGAGGGGTGAAAGGGAGGGGTGAGATCCTCCTGCTGTGGAAACCGTTCACACCTCTCTGCAAATACGGCTGTGCCAAGATAAAACAGATAGCATATCTGCCGTTGTTTTGTTTTCTTTAAACAAAAAATTGTGTACAACTGCTACAATGCAAATACAACATTTAAAGACTTCTATCATTGTTGACCTGCTTGCTCAACTATGAAGACAAAGATCCAGTTCTTTTCTGGTATTGTAAATTATACACGTCTATTGAAATGTATTGAGTCAGCTGAGGGACCTCCAAAACAGGCAGAAATTTTGTCTTATTGTGGTTGGTTAGAGGGCTCATTTGTGTATTGTAGGCTTCTGCGCTAATAATGCAATGGCCAGTATCACGATAACGTTTAACAAATATATTGTGCAGCCATACTGTTTAGGTCTCAATAGTGCTTCAGTTAGCTTCACAAAGAGAAGGTATAATTAAAACTTTATGTTGCCGTTGTCTACGTCTATGTAACTGAACATCAAAATGAATAGGCTTTTTAATACTCTGGTGTTTAAAAACATTCTCTCGCCTCAGGTGCACACACACAGACAAACACTACCTTCTGCCTTTGCTCCTTTTTCATTTACAGACGATACACAAAACATTAAACCCTCAGTGGAGAGAACAGTTTGACTTCCACTTGTATGATGAGCAGGGTGGCTTTATAGATATCACTGTCTGGGATAAAGATGCTGGCAAGAAAGACGACTTCATGGGCAGGTGAGTTTGCATTTAACTTGCGTTCTTGTTATTGTAATCTGGTGATCATGTAGTTTTATAAAGGCCTACAGGCCAAGTGGTACTTACATTTAAAGACATGAAACAATGGTGTTTTAGAATACTTGTGTCTTTTCAGAAATGTTATGCTGTTCATGAGGTAGCCTATTTCTGTGACTAGTGCAGCAATAAGAGCAAATCCTAAATACAGTTATAATGAAGACTCTCCAGATGTGTGTTGAATCCAACTTTCCTGTTTACTCAAAACACAGCATCAAAATCACAAAAACCAAAATCAGAGACAGTCCAAAATAGTCAAAAACCAAGATAGATAACAAAAACTAGCGAAGGTGTCAAAGAGAGTCCAAAAAGCAGAGTCCAAGTGTTCAGAAGAAAGTCCAGGCAAAGCATAATTCCAGCAAGAGTGGTGAAACAAGGCTCAGTACACAGGTGAACTGGCAATACTTCACAAACAGCCAGTGTTTGTTTAGGTCCTTACAAAGGGAGGTAAATGAGCTGCAGGTGAAAGAGTTTAAGGTGTCACTTGGAAACAGATCAATACTCAGGTGAGGCTGTCCTCTGGTGTCGATGGTTGGTATTACACCTGACAACAATATTCTTTCAAAAGATTACATGATCAGTCAGAATGTTTGAAATCAGTAATTCTCTAAAAGCCATTTTAGACTACCGTGCACTGTGTGTTAGTCTTCAAAATGTCCAGATTTGAATGAACCCAATTACTAAATCACTGATATGCTGAATAACCAGTCCATGTTCCTGAATTATGAGTAAGACAGTTGTATTAGCCATAGTCTTTTTTGAAGGATGTGAGTACCTGCCTGAGCTCTGCGGATTCCTCATTTCCAAGCAATAAATAAAATGTGTGTGGCAATAATGGGTGTCCAAGCACTTTTGGTCACTTCAAAGATGAGAACAGTCTCAATAGGGCATCATCGCGTGAAAACGCGGCTCTTTAGGGGTTTAACGGCTGAAGAACATGTGGCCAGCATCACAATTTATGGAGCACTCATTTAGGAGGTACATTCCCTGCAGATAAAACTGTCAGAGAGGCCATGAAATGAGCATGTGTGCTCAGAGCCACAGGTTTAGAGCAGAATGAATGACATGCACTTTATTTACCTATAGATACTCTGTTAAATAGCAGATATTCTCCTATCAACTTCATTAACTTCATTTATATGCATGAATTTAATTCTTCCTAGTATAGAAGTTCACCATGACTTGTTGGCAGCTTTTTTTTTATATTTTACGTTCTCCTACTGTAACAGTAAGGCTGTTAGAGACACCCCCTATTTTCAACAAATATTTTTAAGCATATCTTGTTAAGTGTTTTAAGGGGGTCTATAAAGTATTTTTAGAATCTTTGGAAGGTTATGCTAGATTTTTTGTTCTGTATAGGTCCATTTTATTGTGTAACCTTTTTAAAACTATAATTGCTTGATGAATCATGACTTACTAATATAATTGATAGTGTCAGCTATTAATATTAAGGTGAGATAAATAACTTACAATACTAAAAAACAGGTATCACAGTGAATCTTTGCCAGTCGATTTCTGATATTTTAATAGTATTTTTATATTTAAAGTTTCCCTCAGAATTACATGTAAATATGCAAAACAGACATTTTCTAAATATGAATACATTTACATACATTTAAAACAAATCTAGCCTTTGGATAATGTTAGAATTAAACTGATTATTTGATTGTGAAGACACGCAATTCATAGGAATCTCATTGATTTGTTAGTTAATCAAGAAAACACCATGCACTGTTATTATAAAATGTTTTTTGGGCCATTTTGTCTTATGTAATTTAGCGTACGTCCAGCTATTTACAGTATATTAAGAAATACCTTTGTAATTTCCTCAAAATATGATTGGGAATGAAGATGTAAAATTTTACCAATGCAGAAATTTTCAGAAACTGAGATTTTGGTTTTGCATGTAGACAAAAGTTGATTTTGAGAAAAATGATTTTAAGATTTTAAGGATGGTCAACAGAACTGTATTGCCCAGTGAGATCTCAAAAAGCCTGCCGGATTTGTTTGAAAGTTTGTCATTAGTCCCAAGATAAAAATACATTTTTCATTACAGGTTTTTTGTGATTTATGGCATGATGTTGTTGCGCCAAGTGTGTGCTGAGCTAAGCCTTCATTAAAGTTTCGAAAACATTGGGAAAATACAGTTAGGAGCAAGCAGACACCATTTGAAGAATCACACTGAAATAAACACATTTGTGTAGAGTTTTGACATTTTCATAATTACAGTTTAAGAGAAGACATGGTATAGATGCACATTAATGATTGATAGGACCAAAATTGTCATTTCTGTCTGTAATGTTTTGCCTAAATGAGTGTTCTGTAAAATGAGACTACAAACTAATAGATGATGCTTACTTGGTCTTTATAGGCCAAAAAAATTTTACACTCATTTTGTAGAGTGCAAAGCTCCACACATGTCATCACTGTGTTTGTGTGTGTGTGTGTGTGTGTGTGTGTGTGTGTGTGTGTGTGTGTGCATGAGAGAGAGAATTTCTGCACACACGCATTTCTGTCCCTGACAAGACCCCATTAAGTGCACGAGACAGGAGAGCTAATGGCTAAGGGAAGTGGGGAATGGGCTAGCAGAATTTACCCAGCAGCTTGTCTTTTCCCCACACGCTCCCTCATGCATGTTGCCATTCATACAGATGGCATTTCTAAATGAGTTCTCTTGCCACTCTTGTAATTGGTTCGTCCCTTTCCTTAAATGCTCATCTCCTAGAGTCCTCTCCCCTACTGATGTCCACATTAACTCCTCATTCAGGTTCAGTTAAGCTTTTCATTACACACACAGTGGGCTGGCTGACCAGGTGCTTACAGCACTATGAGCTTGTCACTTCACTGGAGTAAACAGCAATAGAGGGAGTGAAAGCTTTATATGGGAATGCACTCCAGCACTCCATAAATCTCTCTCTCTCTTTCTCTCTCTGTCTTTCTCTCTTTCTCTCTCTGTCTCACACCCTTTATTTAGTTAATTCCCTCTCAAAACAGCCATTAAGTAAAAGTTATTAATTTGGAGGCGATATTTCTAAAGAGATCAGATGTAAGAGAATCCATTTACATAAGGAAGGGGAAAGTTAAAAAAGGAGTTTATTAAAAGATATAGAGAAAATGAGACTTCATGAAAGACCTAGCTAAACCACCAAAAACGGCACGACCAAAACAGTACTTAAAGCTTTCATCTTTGAGAGGTAAGAGAAAATTAAGCTCTGCTCCTGCTTCAGGCCTTTAAAAATCCACAGGTGTTTTTGTCCATCCTTCCAGTGTGAGACGACAACTCAACACTGAGACTGAAAGCTGTCCAGCTGTCAAGACACCTTTACTGAGAAAAGGAAACACACAAGAAAGAAGAACATATACAAATTAAACAATAAAGCTGCTAGTGTCCTTAGAACAATGGACTGTCAACCCAAGCATCCAGACCTCACCATTACTGAATGTCTTTGGGACTACTTGGGTTGTGAGAGGCAGGAAATGCAACCAAGTTTTGATTGGAAATTAAATAAATGAAGGGTGGTCTCCAGCTTTTGCACAGTACTGTATATATGTACATCTTCTGCTTCTCTCTTTCTGTTTATCTCTCTCTGTACTTGCTGTACGTGTTGTTTTCCATCAGGATACATAATGTATCATGGTTCTAAATGTGACTCAGTCTTATCAGGCACAATCTGCTGATGTATTTTGTTTTGAAGATAATAACAACAGTAATCCTGTGTGTGTGTGTGTGTGTGTGTGTTCCAGGTGTCAGGTGGATCTGTCTGCCCTCCCTAAAGAATGCACACACAGGCTGGACCTCCCACTGGAGGAGGGCGAGGGCACTCTAGTGCTGCTGGTCACCCTGACTGCCTCCGCCGCTGTCTCCATCTCAGACCTGTCAGTCAACATGCTGGATGATCCACACGAGAGGAGAGAGATCCTGCACAGATATGTGAGTGCAAATAACTTCAAATGCAGTTCATCATTAAGCCTTAAACCACAAGGACCCGTATGTGGGCACGCAACTCAGTTCCTCACTCTTTTTATGCAATGCTATATATAATGCTACACAGTGAGTAGTGAATGAGTGAATATTTGCAAACACAACAGCATGTTCACTTACATATGACATGTTATTATTGATGCTACAGGTTTTTGTGCATAGCCATGTTGCACAAAATAGTAGCTTTAGCCATAGGGTGTGCAAATGTATGGGATGTTTTATATATGTCTTGACTACATGGAATTAGAGGGCCCATATTCTACATTTTTCTTTGGGTAAGTTTTTTCCCTTGAGATCCATTTATAACTTATGGTTCTATCAACTAAAATGACCATTTCCAATCTCTCTATATCTCTTAAAGTTCAACAGGATATTTTTGTTACTGTGCCTTTAAGGCTGATATATGTATTGTGAGCTCTGTTCTGATTGGCTTCATTTAAAAAACATTTAAAGCTAAAACACTCCTTAGATCTTCAGTTTGAATCAACAAGGCAGATATATGTAAATGACTTTCTTATGACATCACAGAAACAATTCAAAGTGGGGTATTTTTGCAGCTTAGTTTTCATATATGAATTGTATGGACTGGGGAGTGGACGAACCTTTTTGAAGCTCTAATATGGCCCCTTTAAAATGCAGGCTTATTATTCAGTTATTACTCTCACCTGCCAACCACTACCACTTACCTACCAGTGTAGTAGTCCCATGCTTGTAGATATTGTGCTGGTATGAATGTCTCAGGCGCAGTTGTATTGGTGATTTTTGTACATTGTAGAAGACTCTGAGCTCATGCTAACATGCTTATTTGAATAATACTTTGCTAATAGAATGTATTGAAACAGCCTCCCCCTTTACATACTGCGCTACATATACATCCATTCCACCGCCGTGCTGAATTGTCTGCCTGTTTGTCGCAGAGTTCTCAGACCTGGCAGCACCTCAGTGATGTGACCTCCTTTTCAAAGCTGCTCAACCTCTGGGGGCCAGAGATTGGTTCAGGCCCGGAGAGCACAGGATTGGGCCTCCCTGTTCTCTGAAGAGAGGGATGAGGAGAGAAGAGTAGCGGGAGAGAGAGAGAGAGAGAGAGAGAGAGAGAAGGAGAGGATCTGATTGGGACAGAGAGCATTGGAGGAGAAGAGTAAAAAAACGGGGGGAACTGTGACAGGCTCTTTTGAAGCCGGGTGTGCTGTTGAAAGGCCAGCACTGAAAGGAGCCCAGTGTCCCTGTGTGGGGGCCTTTGGCCCTCGGTGGCCCCGGGGCCCTCCAGCCCCTCCAGCCTGTACAATGCTCTCAGCCTATCCTTTTGTCTTTGGCCTGTTAACCCTTCGCTCACTACCATTCGTGCCTCTACGCCACCTCTTTACATGCCAATAGCAGGGGACAGGGCTGAAATAAAAAGGGGCACTAACCACCTCTGATGCATCTGCTCTCTGGAATAATGGCACAGATGAAGCCCTTGAATTTTTGTGTCTCTTTCTAAGAGGGAGCGGCTTTAAAGCTCGGAGGCTTTTTTTTTAGCTTTCACACGCCCATCGTAATCCGCTAGCTAGGTGTCCTCGCTCATCGTAAGCAGACGGCTTGTGAGTGCAGGACGGACTGTGCAAATTCTACTCTAATTGAAGTGGAAAGTCATGCTGGGAGATGCGTTTGATCACTGGCGGAGCGGTGGCGGAAGCGTTCCACAGGCCAAACGGCATGCGGCTGACCCACATTAGCGAGAACGAAAGCTCATTGGCTAACGGTGGAGCGCTAAACATACTGCACCCACAAGGGGGAGCTCTTAGACTGAGGGAAGAAGTGAGGAGCTCTCCGAAAGCCTATCGATGGAGGATAGCGAGAGAGACTTGGCATGGGTGGGGAGTCGGGAGGGGTAGGTATGCAAAATGAAAAGAAAAGCTATTTCACCTTGCTTGAGTCTTGTCGTTTTTTTTTTTCCCTCCCTCCCACCCTGCTAAAGGACAGACGTTTTACTCCCTCATTCCATCCTTTTCTGCTCTCCTTTTCTCCCCCTCTCTCCTCCCTCTCTCTGCATCTAGGCATTCATTAGCACCCAAGCCTGCAGTCTGATGGGGATAGATATGCTGGGCTAGAGACGGAAAGGAGGGAGGGAGGGAGGACAGTGGATTTAAAAAGAGAGACTTTAATTTGTCCCCACTATTAGCATATTCCCTTTTCCCTGCTTGACACCCTTTCAAAGAAGGGAATTTAATAAAGATGTACCTTATCAAGCTGGGCAGATAACATGAAGTGCTGCTGCTAATGCCGCACAATACTCCTTAAACAGATTAGCTCGAGCTAGGTGGTTCTACGTCTACGGATGGGAGAAGTATGGGGAGGGGCCACACCATCTTCAAAATGCTTTCAACCTCTCTATTACCGTAAAATCAGCTGGCTGAAAATGGTGGCATGAAGCAAAGCACCCAGGTCCAGTCATCAGCTCTTAAGTCCCTTAAGCGCTAGCACACTGCTGACGTTCACCAAAACAAATAAAGCGTTTAGGTAGAACGGTGAGGTGGATGGGGAGGCTTTGAAGCCGCAGATGCTTCCCTCCTTAAACTGTAAACGTCTAACGTCGGTGTGGGGGAGGGATAGCCTAGCTCAAAATGCAATTAAATCTCTTAATGCAGCTTCGCGGCTGCTTCACGTACATCATTAAAGTGGCAAAGGCATATCAGATGACTTTCAGCTGTTTGCATATGGGGCAAGCAAGGCTGGGCAGCTGAGTGCCTCGTCAGGGTGTGTTAATGGCCCAGAAATCACAATGAAGATGTCTGAAGCTAAAAGCCTGTCCACCTGTCATTCTGAGGTCACGTCATATCTCACACGCTCTCATTTACAGCTGTATGTGGACCAGACAAAGCACACCTGAGGATTCGCCTATGCTTCTGGAACCTATTTATTGCAATAATCATTACTGAATAGCTATTAGATTTGATGCAGGTGTTTTCATACACTCTTAAAAAAATTTGAAAAAGAGTTCTTTGGAACGATGCCATAGAACCACTTTTGATTCCCTAAATCTTTCAGCAGGGGTGTCTTTAGAAAAAAAATTGTAAATAAGATATAAGGTTGAAGAACATCTGTAAAGTTTAAAGAACCTCCACATAATGCGCCACTGACCCTCTTGACGATACTGCTGCATTTATCAATCATAGACATTGCTTTTCCTGCTTTTCCCCTTTTCCGTATCTTATACTGATGGTCAAACTTTATTCTCTGCTGTTATTGTTTGCTATCCGGTGTCAACCAGAAGAGGATGGGTTCCCCGTTTGAGTCTTCGTACCTCTCAAGGTTTCTTTCTTTTGCTCTTAGGGAGTTTTCCTTGCCACTGTTGTCATTTGCTTTGACTTGACTTGACTTGACTTGATAATATAAAGTTTCTGTAACAGATGCCCAAACCTTTTGTCTTGCGGGGCTAAGAGTATAATGTTTGTAGTGAGGTGAGGGCCAAAAATACAAAGCCTATAGCTAGCTTTACTTTTTGCATGTTGCCAGTACTGGTGGAAAAAAATGTATTCTTTAAATACACCAAAGGTATCTTTCCGTACAAGGCATACGCTCTTTCCTTTTAATTCAGAGGAAAGACATTGTTAAGGCTGGTGGTCTTTAAATGTTCTCTTGTGTTTGTACCACCACCTGTTATGCTGTATTAGCTCATAACTGCTAGCTGTGTATGTGTTGTTACATCTGCATTGCCGTCAGTGACAACTGTATGGTGTCGAGGGTCATGTGATTAGTTTACATATTTATTTTAAAATATTACACTCTTTTACTACTAAAATTATTTCAAAAAGAAATGTAAATAAAATTAAAAAAGAAAAAGAAATGTACAAAAACATGTTCTCTCACTGGCTGAAAGAGTGTGAGTTAGGCAACATTCTGCCAGGCCAAATCAAACATCATTGCTGGTCAAATTTGGCCCTTGGGCTGCAGTTTGAAAACCCTGTTTTATAGCAGTGAGTTCTGTATGTCAGAAATATACACGTAAAGACCCTTGGAGAAATATATATATTTTTGAGATTATTTGAAGGTACCTGTTTTTTTTGCTTTTCGGAGTTTGAGGGCCATTGCCTTTATCAGACTCATAAAAATTGCTGAACTGTGTGATGAGGTGTATTCATGAGTAGATTTCTCTCTTTTCACTTAGACTGCCTGCTGTTGGTCTTTCAGCTTTTTCTGCCCCTTTTGAAGATTAACCTTCAAGGAAGGTTTGATAAAGCAAGGAAGCACTAAACACAACCTAAGAGCTTTGGGAAGATACCATATTGCAAAGATTCCCTTATTTTCTGATATGTTTTTCTTGGTGATGGGAGCGGTACGGCTTTTCTCCTCGGCTGTTGTTGTAAGCAGACAGGAATTATGCATTTTAATAAGGGGAAGGCGAGAGAGTGTAATGGACGTTAATGGGCGTCAGGGCTAGGGTGACCTCTGCTCAAGTGGTGGCACCCAATTCCACACTCACCCTGTCTCTGGCTTTAAAATCACACAGCGGACAAATGCACTGAAGAGTGGGTGTGCGTGTGTGTGTGTGAGAAAAGAGAGAGAGGGAGCAAGAGAGAGAGGAAGTAGAAGGAATGTGCAAAGAAGGGAAAGAAGGAGGGAGGGATGGAGGGGGGAAGCTGTTAGCATTCCATTTTTATTATGACATTTCACAGTCATCCGATTTAATGTCCCCTGACCGGATTGTCCGGCAGGAGACGGTGGGCTTGAAATGTTATTTAGAGCATTGATAAAAGGTAAGCGCCTGCGAGATGACAGCAAGTCATAAGGCTCCGCGCGGTGACATTCATTTTCTCCACAACAGAGATGGAATAAGACGTCACGGTGACAAGTTGTCAATCAAAGCCACAGCCCCGCCACCTTCCCCTCCCCCCAGCTCATGGTCCCCACTTTCTGAGGGGGTAGAGGAGTGAGGAGTGTGTGTTTGTTTGTTTGTTTGTTTTCGTATTTTTTCAGGACAAAAATATCCTGACCATAGTAAACCAGGAAAATGAAAAACCCAGATAAACAAGGACCAAACTTTTTAAAATGTTAATTTTTATTTAAGAAACATTTCTGTTTTGGTTAGGGTTAGGATTAGTATTATTTTATACACGCACACACACACACACACGTATATATATATACGTGAACTGACTTTAGACTAAAATCCTTACGCTTTGTATGATCAGATATCTTATGTTTCTTTTATTACAAAAAATGACTGTTTTATTTTGTCATTACCATAACAATCATAATGCTACCGAAACATGTATATATATATATATATATATATATATATATATATATATATATATATATATATATATATATATATATAATGAGTAGAAGAACAAACTTGTGTGTATATGTGTGTCATACATGTCTCCCATCTCCTACCTTGTCCTACTTTGGCCTATCTTGCCTTTGCCCCGCTGGTGGGTGGGAGGAAGCGGAAATATATTCTACATATTTTCATTAAAAATATAAAAGAGATTCATTTTTGGGCTCCTTAGTGCTTGATAGAGGCATCAGAAATTCTTGAGCTTTGGAAATGCTCCTGCCTCCTTCAAAAAATGTCTTGCATTTTTTGTATCCAAGGCCATGATAATTAGAAATAACAAGCTATCTTAAGAGAAAGCATGCACCGCATTTATGTGGAAAGAGAGTTTTTCCCCATTCTCCTGTTCTGTCATCACTCCTTCGTTTCTCCTCCCTCCCTCTCTCAGCTCGTTTTTTTTTTTCTTTTGAAAATAATTTTGTCCATAAGAGGGAAAGACAGCCAGAGTTTAGAATGAATCAAGTCCATAGCTCAGCCTTGACTTTATAATTCAAATTATAATTACTCCCCTGGGTATGTATGTGCATACTGGAGGTATTGCAAGAAAGAAAAATAAATTAAAGCGAAATACATTTTTAAACCCGACAATATGGCTCTGCCTGGCTCTGACGACCTTTTGTATAGGCCGCTGGTTGGCATATGTCTGTATATGAAGATTGACCTCATTGTTTGATCTGGTTCATGTAAGGGGGCCAGCCATGTGTGTATGTGGGATTTATATATGTGCCTATTTGATGGAGATTTTTTCTATTTACATATGGATAGAGACTTGTTATGTGGCTGCCTTGAATGCAAATGCATTTATACTTCAGATAGCAGTGCTTTTCATTCTGTTACCCAACAATACTATAAAAAGGTTTTCTTTAGTGTAATTTTAACAGAAGAAAACAAAGCAAAAGAGTCCAATCAAAACAAGCTGTGTCAGGTTTGCCAGGCGTTCTTTTAGCATCAAGTACCTGCACTCTGGAACTTTATTAATGCTAACTCGATATCATCTGATACAGTGGTATATTTCGAAAATATTGTGATATAGAATTTTATCAGTACCTTTCTGCACATCCAGAGAGACCCGCGTAAGAGAAGAAAATCCTCGGACACCAGCACGTAGCTAGTGTATGATGCAGCATTTGTTTCATCGCTAAATGTCAGCCTTTTAATGTTCCATTGGACACACAAAGGAGCAGTTAAGGAGCATTATGCTGTCTGAATGAATGGCTTTTATCTGGACCAGTGTAATTGGCCCTCTCATAAATCATAAGTCTTAAAGAGGCTTTGGAGGTGTGCTTGCCTTTGAACAGTTTAACCCCTTCTAAAGCCTGTCATTTGCAGTGGCGTCTAATGGAGCTTAGGGAAACAGGCCTGGGTGATGGAGAGTTTGGAGCTGAAATTTGAAGGCTGATATATGGGTGGCTGGTATGGACTCCCTCTGTTATGAAAGAGCTTGAAAAACATAGCCAGGATTACAGATAAATGGACAGACAGACAAACACACCTGCAGTCATATGCAAAGGTTTGAATTCTCCAGTCAAATTCTATGTTTTGTTGATTTATTTTTGAAGTGAAAATAAGTTAACACATCCTCTGTGAGAACAAACTTAAAATATGGCATTTGTTCTTCCGATTTTACTGCACAGGTTCTAATTATTTGCTGAACATACTGGAAAAAAACTAAAACAAAGAATATAAAATGTGGCATAACTTTTGCGCAGACCCAGTATGTTAAATTGAGCAAAAATGTGCAGAAGTGTGTTTTCTGTAGAGGATGTGTTAACTTATAATCAACAAAACATGTAATTTTAACTTTTACATACCTCTCTATATGTAAGTCACTGTTGCGAAAAAAACGTCAAAAACATCGTACTATTAAATTGTTCACTATTTATGCAACACATTTTCTATTTGTTTATTCAAATAATATAGCATTTTTTCTTCTCTCATGAAGTTTTTAACCCACACAAACACTTCAAACTTATTCTTAATACTTATATTGTATGTCTTTCTCTTTGGGTGAAAATACGTATCAGAATTTGAATCACAATCAGAATTGCTTTATTGTGCAAATAAAATATCACTTACATAGAAATTTATTGTGGCAATAACCTCACAGATAGTATATATGCATATGTTAGCCCAGGGGCATGAATGTGTATGGTTGTGTGACCAGCACATTATCCTTATCCTTTGCCAAGAGAACTAGACATTAGATGTGTTCCCTCTATTACTGCTTTAATGTCAAGACTTAAAACATACTTTTTTATGTTAGCATGTAATATTTAGGCATGTTAGTAGGGTGGCCATGTCTCTTTAACATGTTTATGTTTGTTCTGTACAATACTATTATATTATATTATTATTATATTACAGTACTGGGCAAAAGTCAGAGACCACCCTGTATTTATTAAATCGCCACAACTGTGTGGAATATAACATCCATGCAAGACCTGACCAACCACGAAAACCTGTGAACATCAGATAAACAGTACTTAAAGCTTTCACCTTTGAGAAATAGCTGAAAATCAGCTCCACTTTTGCTTCAGATCTTAAAAAAATCCACAGAAAAGTCCATCCTTCCACTGTGTGATTACAGCTTAACGCTATGGGTCTGAAAGGATGTGAAACTGTCAGGAAGCTGTTACTGAGAAAAAGAAATAGACAAAAAAGTAGAAAAGCTGCAAATCTATCAAACAAGCTGCTGGTGTTCTCAGAACAATAGACTGTCCATCTCAGAGCCCAGACCTCAACATCATTGTACCTGTTTGTTTGCTTGGATCATGAGAAGCCTAAAATGCAGCCAACTTTTTATGCTGAATGGATGTTTGGACAAATATCTCTGTAGATTTCTGAAAAAACTGAAAGCAAGTCTCCCAAAAAGAATTAAAGCTGTAACTAAAATAAAATAAAATTTTATGAATAAAATATGCTTATTAACTAGTTTAGTTTTTATGACAAATATCGCAATATTTGAAAAACCGAAAAGAAAAACAGAAGGAGTTAATTCTTGATAGGGCTGGATAGGGTAGCAATTATTACACTACATATTGTGATTGCAATATACCAGGATGCTCACAACACACAATAAAACATTCAGTGTTTGGTTAGTGGCACATTTGCATATTGCACACTTCTGCTATACCAGTATTGTGAAGTTTGATGTTGTGATAACAATTAGCAGCAGTGTATTATGCAGCCCTATTTCCAAATTACTTGCTTGTCTTGAATACATGAATATAGCTGTGTGGGTTTCGCTCACATGTGTGCTATGTTCATACTGTTTGCCCTCAATGCGAATATTGCAGCTCTAGTGCTCTGATGCTAACCAGTCTGATCACTTTGACCCTGCAGAGTCTGCTAAGATCCCTCCACAACATTAAAGACGTGGGCATGGTACAGGTGAAGGTCATTCGGGCAGAGGGACTGATGGCAGCTGATGTTACAGGTGAGGATACCCCATTCATACACACACACACACACATACACACACACACACATTCACATATGTGGTATTCGGACTGGTCCCTTTCGTGCTTTTCTCCAGTGACTGATATAAAGAGCATTAGCCTGTCTTCTCCAACAAAGGTTTAACAAGAGCATGATGATGTTTTCAGTGTTCTACTAATGGACGGAAGGCACTTTTCAGGCTGCTCTGTGTGTCTGACACGTATTTTCCCACGCTTCTGTTCCTTTTCCATTAATTCTTCCTTTTAATTAAGTCTACCGTGGACAGGCCTAGTTTCTGGCAGTATGTATTATCGAGCTGAAAAGAGATTGGACCCGACGCACAACACTGTTTTTCTATTCAGAGTACAAGAGACAGGACCATTAACAAAAACACTTACCACAGGCCATCCTTTTCCTCACTGCTAATACCCCACTAGCACAAACAAAATGTGCATCTGCATTTGTTATGTCAAAAAAAAGGAAAGGGAGGAAAAAAAAACTACATTTGCAAGTCCCTCAGAAACTGCATGACCTCAATGCTGGAGTCATCCTTCAGTTTGTGCGAGTTATATTCAAATTAAGTTCTTTTTCTTGTCTATATTGCTTTTTTTTTAGAATGTGCCCTCTGTCATGTTCTTTTGGTCTGATTTAATTTGCAGTGGTTTTATTTGCACTTTGTGTCTTTGTAAGGGCGCTAATATAAATCATTTTAAATTTGTGTAGTTGTAGAATTAATCTACCTTGGTAACAACTTCTTTTAATAGGTAGAGCGTGAGGGTGTAATGATTAAAAAAGAAGATTTTGACACAGTGTATTGAAATTTAAATATGTATTCAGTCAGTTCGCCCCTTTGTCTTTTCTGGGGACTTTCGTGGAAACCACTGTCACTGATCAAAAACTAGGCATGCAAAACTGGGTGCAGCCCATCAGAATAAAGTGGGCGGGGCCATGTATGCACCCACGCTTCAATAACTGGGTTTTTTAGAAGTGTATACAATTATAAATTGTAGGGGTTGTGATTTGGGGGTTTATTTTGTGTGGCAAATGTTTAAAAAGTCCTATAAATATATTAAAGAAAAATATGAAAAAGCAAACTGAATCTTGAGTTCAGATTTGAAAATCTGAAACGTGAAAGTGTTCGTTACACCCCAGGTGCACATGCATGTGTGGGACAAACCTTAACTTATTAACCTATTAATGTATGAACACAAGGCACATATTCAGGCACTTCTTATTTTTCCTGTGTTGAAAGATGTCTCGAGAGGTCTTGAATTTTATGTAAAAAAAGAATGATGGGTGGTGCATTTTATTATTTTTACTATTTTTATATGAGTGAGAGAGAGACAGAGAGAGCAAAAGAGAAAGAGAGAGAGAGATATGTTCTCCGTCTGTCCTATCTCTCTGGCTTTCTTAATTAAGACATGCTCGACGGCAGGAACCCCTTCAACACGCACACATACACACACACACTCCTGTGTGTGACAGCTGAGCAATCCAAAACCCACCCCTCCCTCCACACCGATCCGGGGGTCCGGCCCGTTACGTTGACCTTGGAGAGCGGTCCGGCGTTCCCAAGGAAACTGAGGCCGCCTCGTGAGCTCTGATTTCACACTCTTTTCCCGCCATAAAGCAGCGGCTCACAAACCCCCTTTGGAAAGGCTCTGGGCCCCCTGGGGCCCCGCTGTCTCAAACGGGCCCTGGCACCGAGGCGTCAGCCAACAGGGTTACGGGCCACGGAACAGTGCCTTCTCTAATAGAGAGCTCAGCACAGACAGGGAGAGGCTGAGAGAGCTAGGCTGAGAGGAGGAGAGAGAGAGAGCGAGCTTTGAGTAATAGAGGGAAAGTGAGAGAGAGCTTAATGTATTCTTGTATTCTCATCGTCTGGTTTACCTCGCTTGCACTCTAGCATCCAGGAGGCATGGTTTGTTCGTTATAGTCTCTTTCTATCTCTCTCTTTCTGTTTCTCTGTCTCTCTCACTCTCTCTCGGCCTGTTCCTCATTGTAATTAACTGAGGCGTTTATCTGGAGTGCCTGCTCTCCAGGCCTTGCAGAATAAATGAGCAGAGTGTGTAAAAACCAACAGTGTTTAGGCAGAGTGGGTTATGCTCCCCCTCTGACCGGCCCCATTCAGTGCAGCTCAACATCCTCTGCTGGCTCCCGCTGGACGGAACCGAATTACACAATCGTGTGAGTGGCTATTACAAACCAAATCGCCGTTCAGGCTGTATTAGCAGTGGAGTTTGTGATATTCGACTTGGGGACAGAATAGAACGTCAGCCTCTGGACTGAGAAAATACTGATCCATGTGATGTGCTTAATATAAATTCTTCAATCATAATTCTCATTTGTTTATCATGGGGTGGACCAAATGACGATGGGATTACTTACATCACAGTTTGCTTTTCTGAATACATAATGGGAATCTGTAGTTCTTAAGGAACAACTGTAAGTTTCTATACAAAGAGGCTTAGGTGGGTCATGTTTTAAAAAATTGGCACCAAATTTTGTAAAGTGTGTTTGTTCCAACTTATCAAACCTCAGAATTACAGTTTATTGTGATACATATCATGTAACATAAAATGTTTTTAGGTGTAGTGACATTGTATTTTTCCATATTGCCAACCCCAGCGTAATTCTACTGGTCCAGATAAGAAGTCCCCCCCTTTGAATTTTGAACTGAATTTACTATAATTAAATTGAACTGGACTGAACTGGACCGAATTGAATTGTTTGTGCCAACAATACTTTAACATCTATTTGATTGTGTAATTGTGTAAAAATTTTGGGATCACGTTTTAGAAGGTCATTCCAGGTTTAATCATATACGATGTCTGTTTATATCAAATAGGGAGCAGCGCTGAAATGTGAAAGTGTCTGGACGTGACTGTTACATGCAGACTCCTGCATAATACGTCCCTGGATTTCATTTAAGACGCCTTCCAGACCTGAAAAATGTAATTACTGCGCCGTACATTTGCACTCAGCTCGTCAAATTGGAGCCAAAATGAGGTTGAACTCATCTCGCCAGTCGGAGTGTGTTCGCCAGAAATTAACCCATGGAGGGTGTCTCGCCAGCCACACCTGGGAAGTCAAAGTTTCATCCAAGGCAAAGCGTGAAATTCACTCAGACAGCCGTCTCACAAACAAGGTCAGAGTTCGTCGCTAGGGACGACCATGTGTTATAGGCAGGACTGTAGCATGAGGATATGCAGTTTGTTGGTACATTTCTCTACCTATCAGTTTGTGTTAATTTAAGCATTAACATAAGCTCCTCCCCTCAGCACCATTATGCATAGTAAAACAACCGAAAGATACTGATATGACCACCATGTTTAGACCTAGAAATTTAACGCTTATATACAAACAATTAGAAACGTCTGGAAAAGCTTAATTTACAAATGATGTCTAATTTATTTGGATCATTTGTGAAGCCACTTCATGCCATTCATGGAATGCGAAGTATTTTATTTGCATGTTTAGGTATTTTAGTGCAAGTTGGCTATGAGTAATTCACATACAGTCAAAATGCATATTTATAGACTAAATTTACTAAGACTGATTCTATCAGTCTGCATCACTTATATTCAAAATAACCACATGCTTTAAACAATATACACAAAATGTTCCATTTACTGTAACTGCAGCTTTTGAATTTGAACAAAAGCACATAAATGCGTTTTATAATCACATTGATTACAAATATGAACTTATCCAGTGCTGGCCGATCAATGAGTTTCTGGAAGTGATAGGGCTTGTGACAGCCAGGACTTTGCATTGATCACAGTGACATTTATTCTGCACGTCACCTAAATGTCCTGCTTTTGTCGTACCATTTTTATCAGCTCCCAAAGATCAATGGCAATCTCTCATTCATCTGCTGGGAATTGATGCATAAACCCTTCTTTTACTTTGTTCTGAGGAACTTGCAGAATACTCTCAGGTTATATTAGCTTACGATTTTACGAAGAAGGAAATATTCCGTTATGGGAATACTGCCATATCTTTGTTGTTTTCTGACCCATCTTTTAAAAATCATGTTCTTCTACAAACAATAAAAACGCTCCCAAATGTTTTGTTTAAAGTTGAGATCAAAGCTGATATTAAGAGTTTGTTGTTTGAGTTTTGTTGGAGGAGGAAACTGGTCCTTTCAAATTACTTCGATATATTTACATGTATATTTTAACAGCACATTTCAAAGCATATAGGGCACTGTTTTTTATTTAATATCTCTCCAGAGTTAACTGCTTATGATAATGTTTTTTTTTGTTACATGATTTAGGGAAGTCTTTAAATATTCACTCGAAGTTACTGTTTTCCACAGCAAGACTGTTTTATGGGGAAACTTTAAATGCCTTGGTAGTGCTTGCACACTAATCTTAAATACTGTATATGCTTGCACACACACACACACACACACATATATGTATACATATATATATATATATATATATATATATAGATACTCTAGATTAAGAGGCAGTAATGATACAGTGTTGTGTATTTATTAATATGTACGCCTACCTTACTGTGCAAAAGTAAGCTCTTCCACCCTTTAAGTTATTTACTTTCCAGTCAAAACAGCCATTAAGTTCTTTTTTGGCATTGGGAAAAAAATAACACAAAATTAATGTGCTGATTTTATAGTTTTTATATACATATAAGCTTATGTATAATTGAGCCTTTACCTCTTGTACCTCTTTGATGAACTTCAACTGCTTTCTGCGGGTGACCATCTGCTTGTGTGTGTGTGTGAGAGCGGCTCTAAGGCCGTGGGCAGCAGCGTGGCTGAAACGCTTATCTACCTGTGTGCAAGCCAGCGTATCAGTACAGCGTGAGGCCATGACACTACAGACAGGCAAAAATGAATACATCAAATTCAGAGTTCAGCTATGATGAATTGTCCCTTAAGCTGTGGTGTTCTAAAGGAGGCGGTGGGGTATAATTTAGCCCTTCGGCCTCGCTCTCCCACGCCTTTATCAGGTACCGAGAAACTCTGCCATCTCTCAGCGCGCCGGCCAGTGGATTACACTAGTCTGCAACTGATAAAGATAATGTGTGTCTGTGTGTGCTTGTGTCCCTCACAGGCAAGAGTGACCCCTTCTGCGTCGTGGAACTCAGCAACGACCGCCTGCAGACGCACACCGTGTACAAAAATCTCAACCCAGAGTGGAATAAAGTCTTTACATTGTGAGTTTAGGATGATATTTGTAGTGCACATATACATTATTTTACATATACAATATTTATAAGTTTTGTTTTTAATAGAGCAACAATTAGCTGACTAGTGTTAATTAATATTTTTATTTTTTCAGTTATGGATAATGCTTAATAAAAGTCACAGTGTATACAGAATTTGCATTACATATCTTACATCCCACACTGTAATAATTACATACTGAAAAAAGTGTACTCTATTTAAAACAGAATTGTTATGTTCAGTAAAAATGACAATTAAGAGCAGCAGAACATTTAAATTACTCTAATTTAGTTCCATGTTGCTTGCTCTACATGGACTTGTTAGATATAAGTAAACTTTTTTTTTTCCTTGAGGACCAATATGAACCTCAGGATGAAATTACACTCCCTGTGCAAGTTCAATCATTGTACTGTATGGTAATGTGCCATACATAATTTCTCATATTAGTTTGGAATCTAGAGGTTGTTCCATTGATGTTTTTTCATAATCTTTCAATCTGCCCGGCTGGAAATTCATTTGTGAATTCCCATAGAAAGCTGGGTAATCTAGCCTCTCCTTGGAGTGCCCGTCTCTTTAAGAATAACCTCATTTTCTTCCACTCTTTAGCCTACTTTTCAAAGATAGCATTTCAAAGGGAGAATCGCTGCATCTTTTTTTAACCCTCACACAATGGAGACTGTCACCAAGGCTTTAAATGAATCAATTTTTTTCTTTTTTTTTGCCATGACTTCAAAGATCTTTTTCGATGTTTAATATTAGTCAATGACTTCTTTTCCTCCCTCCTCCCCCCACTCCCATTTTGATTTTGTCTTTCAACTAGCAACGTGAAAGACATTCACTCCGTGCTGGAAGTTACGGTTTACGACGAGGATCGAGACCGGAGCGCTGACTTCTTGGGCAAAGTGGCCATTCCGCTATTAAGCGTAAGTCCTGAAGTGCTTCAGTTACATTCATAAAAAGTGAATCCACATATTAGTATTCATAACTAATTCAGTTTTAAACAAATAGGGAAATATTGATTGGAAAAATTAACAAAAAAATAGATAAATGTCTTGGGAATTGTCCAGTTTCGGTCATTGTACTTCTAGGTGGGAAAAGCTACAAGAGACTGATAAAACTAGCACCACTATCAAATAGAAAAAAAAAGAAAGGAGGAGACTGGAAAAAAGCAGGAGAGCGTAATATGTGCTCCCAGGCTGATCCCCCAGGATAGTTAATTTGCGGCTGACAGTGGTTGGGGCGTAATGAACAGGTACTTGTCAGAGCCGCCACAGTTGTTTTGGGCTCTCTGTCAGATGCAGCAGCTGGGGGTCAAAGGTCATGCGGGGAGTGTATTCAGCTGGGTATTGCCAGACAGACGGCTGTCATGTCCCTCTCCCACAGATCCAAAATGGTGAACGGAAAGCTTACGCCTTGAAAAGCAAGGAGCTGACAGGGCCAACAAAAGGGGTCATCTTTCTCGAACTAGACGTGATTTATAATGCTGTAAGTCCCTCTCTCTTTTTCTTTTTACTTGCCCCCCCAACACTCTCACTATCTCTCCCTCTCTTCTCTTTCTGTTTGTTCCCTTCAAGCGTGGTCGTTCCTGTCGTTTGAACATGGGGCTGTCCCCCCTCATCCTCGTTTTCTCTTTAATTACCAAAGGCTCCCCTTCTCTTTAAGCTTTTGTTTGTGGGTGTGTGTGCCGCTGTTCGTGCCGCGGCCGCCATTTTAGGTGGCGGAACGAGAGCGGCACATGGCCATGTGGCACCGAGCATGTGAAATGGAGGAGATCAGTCATTAGAGCTGTGGAGAGATCAGTCGTTAGCGTTGTATTACTATTCTGATACAGTATACAAGTGTGTAAGAAACCCCAGCCATGGTCTTTGATTGTAATGCCATTGTTTAACTTTTAGAAGTTGAGAGTTATTACTGTTTTTTGCTTTACAGTTTTAATGTAATTACACAATTACATGATTAGTTACATAGTTAAGTAAGGAATTACCATAGACATACATTCTGTATCAACAGGTTTCAGTTTGCACTACTTTTCTGTTATCTTTCCACAAAACAAGACACAACAATAACTTTTCATCAGATTGAAACCATAATAACATTCATCACTGTACAAAAGTTTGAACTCACTCAGTAATCATTACTGTTATTTCTTGTTTAATAATAATTTACATAGTGTAGTTTAATCCTACAGGTTAGACTCCAAAATATATTTTTTAAATATTTTAATCAAAAAGTTCAAATCTTGAAGATCAAGAAGTTATTAAATGCTAATATAATGTGTAAATGATATATAATACACTGTAATTATCTATTTTAGGTTTTAAGGTTCTTGGTAAGTTATGTGCCTTGACATTTGATCACCACTTTTCAAATATGAGACATTCTGGATATTAATTTTATTATAACTTCAATATTCTACAGCTTTCACACTTATTCTAAGATCATCTACCGTTCTGTTTATCATTCTGAACACATCTAGAATTTCTTCATTACTTACATCTTTATAAAAAATAGTTGAAAACTTTGAAGTGGTAGAGCTGTGATCATCTTCAACAAATGTGTTTTAGTTTGTTATTGAAAACAATGATTCCACACTTTGGAATAGTAATATATATTCCCTTCTACTTAAAACCACAAATGTGGCATTGATGGAAAGTGTAGAATCTGCACTTTTGGCAGAATTCCTCCACTTGTGTCACTACGAATGACTTCACCAAATAATGCGCTATACTTTTTGTTATTGCTGGTGACAGAAGCAACATCTAAGGATTAAACAAAATCATTTTAATTTCATCTTTCCATGCATTTTATCCTAAAGAGATGTTTGTTTGTAGGTGAAAGCTGGTCTCAGGACACTGATACCCATCGAGCAGAAGTACATTGAAGAGGAGCCTCGAGTTTCTAAACAGGTAAAAAAAAAGTTCCACCATAAGCACCATGTTAATAGCTGCTACTCAAGAGAAGAGTATGTTTGATACACAATATAGACAACAGTGTCACTCTCTCCCTTGCTCTCCTCTCTCTCTCTCTGGTCCCTCTCCTCTGGAGCCACTGAATAGAAATGTCATGCTGTCAGTTGTGGGGGTGCATAAGTAGATTGGCCATCCTTTAGCTTGGCCCTCGGTGGCACCACTGCAATGCACTTCATTGTCGGCCCCGCTCAATGTGTCCCCTTCGGACAAAGAGCTGAATTGGAGGGGCTGTCCCAAATCAGGCCTGTCACTGACACACACACACATACGGAGTTCACAGCACAGTCGAGCCATTCTGAGATCCAGAAAGTGCACGCTCGGCACTTTGTCTCTCTTTTAGCCTGTCTTGCCATTTTGAGAGGGAAAGAGTGTGTGTGCATGTGAGAGTGTGCTTGCGCTTGTAAGAAAGATATCAAGTAGCCATAAAAAGAAATTTGAAAGGAAAGGCAGCAGATTCAACTTTCTTTGAAACTTCTGGCACTCCATAATAAACATATGTATTTTGCCAGTATAATCTCTATAATGTTATATTACAGTATCAGATACTTTTCCATTGTTTTGTGTCTTATTTCACCTCTCATTTTACTCCTGCTTGATTGGTCCCAAATGGCAAGCAAAATAGCCTAGTTTAAAGGTAGAGTCTCTGAGTCTGGCAAAGTAAATGCAGATATTTGCTATGATCAAAGCCCGCCATTACGAGGCTATGTGTGTTTCATCTTGGTAGGGACACCAGAACACAGCAGTCATTTGCAGTTCAGACTGATTCTGAATTATGCATAATGCCATTTTGTTAAAAGGGATGAAAAATACAGCATATTCTTCTTTAATGGGTCTAAAACATATACAGAATATAATATAAGAATATAAGTTGCCTCCTGGCTGTCTGTTGGCTGCAATCTCTGTTTGACTGAAATGTCGTTTAGAGTTGGTTCAGTTTTCTGGTGTTATTCCTAGATAACAATGCCATGGGACAATAGTGCTTTTCCAGTCTCTGACTGTTTGCCAAAACCGGCGTGGGACTACAAAGTGTGGCTCGAACGCTCCCGTTTATTTACCACATTTTGCATGCCAGACGCCCCGATGCAATTGGCGATGTGACAGTTGCCAAAACACACTTATTGTGAGCCTTGTTGTCATAATTTGTTCTGTATAGCAGTTTATACCCAATGTAGACATGCTTAATATGCCTACTGAAGCCTGTTTATACAACTTAACTTATTTCAGATCTTACATCGATGGCAGGACACCTGGAAAGCCAACAAAAAGTTTCTGCAACAAAAAGCAGTCTAGATAAATGTGAGCCCTCGGTTGGGTGCGTTTGGCTTGTCTGTCCAGTTTCTGTTGTCTGTCCAGTAGGGGCTGGCAAAAGGTGTCCAGCTTCAGCTCTGGACAGCTGGAGTCCAGCACAGTTTGGTGATTTCCATGCTCAGACACATCTGATTAATCTCAGCTATTAATTACCAAGTTTAATAGGTGTGTTAGCCCAGAGCACACCAACCCAGTGTTTTCCAGCAAACACCGAGAAACAGAGTTGATATGCTGTACCTGTGTGTGACTGTCTCTAGAATTTTCTCCCACATACACAACATTCCAGAATATTCTCCCCCATTCTTACTATTTTATTACGTTGTACTTCTAGAATGTTCTAGAATGCTCCCTCATTCACACTGTTCTAGAATGTTCACTGTAATCACATAGTTCTAGAATGTCCTCTCATTTGTACTTCTAGAATGTTCACCCTAATGACACAGTTCTAGAATGTCCCCTCATTTGTACTTCTAGAATATTCACTCTAATCACACAGTTCTAGAATGCCCCCTCACTTACACAGCCCCCAATTTACATTGTCCCAGCATGTCCTCTGCCATTCACACTGTTCTAGAATGTTCTCCCTCATTGACACTGTTCCAGATTGTTGTCTGGTGTTTACCCTGTTCAAGAATGTTGTCTGCCATTTGCCCTCTTCTAGACTATTCTCTGCAATTCACACTGTTCTAAAATGTTCTCCCCCATCCACAGTGTTCAAGTATCTTCACCCAATTCACACTGTTCTAGAATACCCCCTAATACACAGTGTTCTGGAATGTTCATCCTCATCACACTTTCCTAGAATGCCCCCTTGTTCACACTGATTCTTTTGATTGTCAGTTCTTGTTCTGGAATGGTGTAAACCCAGCTACTAATATTAGGATGTTAGTGTTTGTTGGGCAGTGTTGGGTCAGTGTGCTTTGGCATTTGAAGTAGGGAAATCACAACTCTCTGTTGAAGTCTGGTCTTCCATGACCAGAGCTGATGACTCCTGTTTTAAGGCATGACTAAAGTGTTTCTTTTTCCTTCAGTTGCTATTGCAGAACTTCAACAGAGTGAGGCGCTGCATCATGTTCCTCATCAACGCTGGCTGCTACATCAACAGCTGCTTTGAGTGGGAGTCTCCTCAGAGGAGCATCTGTGCCTTCCTTGTAAGGAGCTATACACTCACATTTGCACTCATACACATTTTCGCACACTCTTAACAGGCCTCGCAGTACTGGCACGGCTTAGAGAGCGAAACTAAACTGTGCCAGGTATCAGCTTGATTCACTCACGTAACCATTTCCTGTTTTTCATATCACGCTGCTGATTTGACATTAAATGTTTCCAGTTTTTGCCAAAGCAAAAGCAAAATCAGCTGTTTATCTCTATGCAAATTGGAGGAATGGGGCACAAAAGTTCTTGCTATATCTCTTAGAGGTGGGAAATGTGATAATATGTTGTTTTTGTGCTAAAAAAGTTTGCTATTATTTTCGGTATCGTCCGTGCTTCTAGGCCAACTGAACAACCACATGTATTATAAAGAAGATTTAGACCAATTAGGAAGAGCCTGTAAACAACAACCAGTGTATAGAAACTGCATAAACTTCATAGTAACAGGTAGTAATAGGAAGTTTTATTTAGATTATGCTTTCTTTTATTTATCTTTTTGCCAGCTGGATTTTTTTGCTTAATCCTTAAGTATTTTTTACAGTCATATAATTTAAACAAAAAGAGAGAAAACAATTGTATTTACAGTTTTTCATAATTGTTTTACTTATGCATTTTGTTCAAATAAATATCATGATATATAGTGTGGATTGCGAACGTATCTTCAAGTATCATGATGTTCTATTTTTCCCGGATAGCCCACCCTTAATATCTGTCTCTCTGCAAACTAGCCTGCTGCATAGTGAAGAGAACGCAGGAAGTATAATTGGACAGCTGAGCTGTTGCTTAAAGGACACCCTCTCCGAAGCTCGCTGTGTGACTGAATGCTAACAGGACAGTCGTGCTAATCCTGCTCTGTGGCACTGCATAATATGCAGCAGGATCTGTCTGTTTTAGTGTTAACGTGTCTTTAAGCGCTGCCCGCGTCGGCCGTTAACATTTGCCGCTTGACACGTTTTAATTTTGCTACAGTTTAGAAGGCAGGGGAGGAGGGATGGGGGCGTCTGTATCGATCAGTTAACATTTAAGTTCAACATTTTTTTCTCTACTCTTTCTCAGCTGTTGGGCAGAGAAAAAAAGCATGAATGAAAATGTCAGAGAAAGAAATGTCAAGAGAGTCTGCTAAAAACACGAGGTCACACCTGCTTCTTTGTTGTTTAGTTATTTAGGGGAAAATGATTGCATAGTAATTTATCTCCAAATCCATTAAATGTCCGATGTGTCTCATTTTCTCTAGGGATGTACCAGTATGGGAATTTTGGGTTGATATTTGATATCTTTCATGTACATGTTTGCCGATACTGTTGCTAAAAAAATAAACATTTTTAAAATGTAGAAAGTGACTAAATGCACATGGATTAGCCCAGCATTACTAAAACAGTATTCCAGAGTACAATAAATACTCCATCAATTATGAGTTGGAATTATTGGTCAAATCTAGACATCTATCTGATGTCTGCAGATACTGATATAATTCTGTTTTCATTGTGCATCCTTAATTAAAGGGAGAGTAAGTTGGTTGGGAAAAACAAAACAATACAAATCAGCTTCTTCTATTGAATAAGTTATTATTTTCCTAGAACTTATTTAATTATTAATAGTTGTAGTCTTAATGTTAATACATAAGAGCTCTCTTAATTGCTTAATTCATTACTTTAAGAACAACTTTATCGCCAGCCATCTGGTCAAGGTGATTTCGTGCAGCACTGTTGATATCCCCAGCTGTGTAGCTTTGCCAAGTTTCGACAGACTTCAGCTTAACACACAGAGTGTATTATACACTGTGAAACAACAGCGTGGCTGCTTTTGCAGAACCGCTACCTCTTCCTACACAAAGGTTAGCCACAGCAAAGGGAATGCTAACACAGTGTAGATGAAAATGGCTGTGAGGTGAAGCGAGTGTTGTGATTTGCTATTCTGGTATTTTTAGGTCGGTACCTTTTGACACGGCTTTATTAGAATTTTTTAGGTTACCAATTTGTTGTTGTTGTTGTGAGTTGCTGTGATGCTTGCAACTCTTTCAAAGTTGAGAACTACTGGTTTTGTTCGAACTTTTTTGTTGGAAGTAATGTGTGCATATCCTATACTGTGATGGGAACTGTTGTGTTCAGTATCTGATTTCAGTGGCCTTTTGTATGGATGTGCAGATGCAGGTGCAGATCTACATTGATACTGGTGCTAACCATTCATGGCCACGCTACCTATAACAACTTCAAACCTGAAGTTTTAATGCATCAATAAATGCATTTCTCCAAGGTTTGATTAGATTACTATGATATGACTCTTGAATTACTTTAAAAAATACACTGAAGATACAGATGACTAGGGCAGATATTTACGCTGTAGTAGGATTTAAGCTATAAAAACAATACCCAAGCTTTTGACTGTTTATATATGCCAAAATAGAAAAATCAGTACACTCTTAAAATCAGTTTAATTCAGACTGCTGTGATGTGACGATTCAAGCTAAAATGCTTTATCAAACTTTGCCGACTGGCAGATGCTTTACTTCCTTTTTTATATTTGAAAAAAAGAATAAAATATTTATTTTGTTGCATACTTTACCTTGATACTTCATGTGTTATAAAGTACTGTATAAAATCAGAGACGATTCATTTGATTTCCAGTCAAAACAGACATTAAACACCCACCTTTATTACAGCTTCCATTCTTTTCAGGAGACTTGCTCTTAAAATAAATCTGCAGGGATATTTTTCCATACTTCCAAAGTTCAGTCGTAGGAGTTGGTTGCATTTTCTGCTTTTCATGACAAGAAATCCCAAACACATTCCATTCAGTGTTGAAGTCTGCACACTGGGGTGGTCGGTCAATTGTTCTAAGAACACCAGCAGCTTCTTTTTTTGTCTATTTCCTTTGTACAGTAACAGCTTCTTGACAGCTATACATCCTTTCAGATCCGTAGTGTTGAGTTTCTTCTCACAGTGAAAAGATGGACAGAAACACTTGTGGATTTTTTCAGAAAATGAAACAAGATTGGCTTGATTTACTCCTATCTCTCAAAGATGAAAACTTTAAGTACTGTTTATCTGATGGTTAGAGTTTTGCTGGTCTTCATCTTGCACAGTTGTTAGGGGTCCCATTTTTTCTGTTAATTTTTTTAACAGTCAGTTTTGGAACTTGTTTTTTTTATGTTTCTTTGACTTTCTCTTCCTTATGCACATGGACTATCTAACATCTTATCCCCTCAGAAATATCTTAATAAAATCTGAAAAATTAATAGCCTATCCTTAATGGTCATTTTGTCTGGAAATCTAATAAATGAAGGGTGGTCTATTAAACAGGACTGTGCATAATGAAAAAGTTAATATAGTTGAATCATGACACATCATTTTTACACCCCTAACATTGATGCATACATGCACTCAAAGGTGAAGTGCCAACCATTCATGACTGCACTACCTGCTGAAGTTTGTGTGTAGAAAGCTCTAAGTGAACACCTGTAAGCTGAGCATGCCGCCACCCATCCGTCCGCTGTGAAAGTGAGCCATTGTTGGCAGCAGTGGTGTCAGGTTGAGAAAGCCCGCTGTGTGCCAGCTCGCCCTGTGCGTTCCTCTCTCTCTCTCTGGCTCTGGCCCTCTCTGCGCCCTGGAGCGGCCAAGCCTCACCAACTCTTCCTCCAAACAAATTTGCCGTAACTTTAGCTGCAATTTGGCCCTGAATTGGGAGCAAATAGAGCAGGTATTGAGTAGCATGGGGAATAAGAGTGCTGTTTGGATGTGTGTGTGTGTGTGTGTGTATACTGGCTGAGGAGGCTTTATTGGAAGGAGGGGGTAAGGAAATGATACCCGGCTCTTTTATGTGGGCTAAAGTAGGGCTCTTATCAGTGGGAGAGCACAGACAAGAGAGGCTGCTGCTACACGAAACTGGAGCAGCCCCTCACCTGCTTTGCATTTAGATAAAATACACCCATCTGAGAAAAAAAAAGAGAGGAAGAGAGGAACAAATGCTCCTGTGTGTGTGTGTGTGTGTGTGTCTACGTTTGTGACCTCACACTGTTTTCTTCAAAGTGACACCTTTTCACTTTAGGTGAGTTTTCCCTAAGCACATACAAGGGCGTAGTGGAGGTTTCTAAAAAAAATAGGATTTATCAAATGCTAATTCTGCCAGTTCTTAGTTATGAGTAACTACATGTCACTTTTTAATTTGAAATGTTACATATGTGATCACATCCCTGAATGTTACGCATACTTGATCAGAAGCAGTTCTGTCTGTTTTTATCAAAATACAGGATTATAAGTGCTGGAAAATGCTTGCTTCTGTTTAGGAAAGGGTTAACAAATGGTACATTTAATAATATGTACCACTTAAATTCTTAGTTTAAAAATTATTGGATCCCTGGATACTCAAAATTTGTACATGGGAAATCCTTTTTGTCAGTGTTTTCTAACAGTGATATTGGAACTGCTATTAAAGTTGAGTAAATGTTGATTCACTCATTACTTGTTCCGAGTTTCTATGAATTAAAAGGGAATTATAACTGATGCGACTACTTCATTCAACATTCTATTACTGATTTTATTTCTGTACAGAAGCAAGCATTTTCTACCAGTTGCAGTTGTGTCCATTTCAAAAAATCCTGTCAAAGTTTGAGTAAATGAGCACCAAATCCTCACTGTCCAAAAAAAAAAAGGATCTCTAAGATGGGAGCTTACAGAAGAAGGCAAAAACATTCTTTAGTTTTAAATAAAGTTAATGTAAGTAAATTATATTCCAAGCAATTTTGATGCATTTTTGTCAGTCCGGTGATCATGAAATTTTCACACAGTGTAAAAAATGGTGTTTTTTTTTGACAGCAACAAAATTCAGTTTTGAGTTTGCAAGAAGTATCCATTGGCCCTCTTTTGTAATTATAAGTTACTTAAACTTATATATTATAACTTATATAATAGCAAACACGATTGAATGTTTGTCAATGAACCTTATTATAAACAGAAAGTTATTCCAGCACTTGTAATTGTTACACCTGTAATTCTGTCAATTTTAATAACAGATAATACAGAGCTATTTGTCACTTTTTTGTGTAATTAAGAGTGTAAAGTGTTACATGTAACTGCATTACTGAACCCATTCTTGCATAGTAACACGTTGATACTTTTTTGTCTATTTTTATACTTCATGACAGAAGTTTATTGAATGATGAGATAATTCAGCAGATGCTAATTCTGATTATCTGAGGATAATGAGGCACTATCCATCTCCTATACTTTCTGTATAATCAAGAATTTAGTGTTAGATATAACAGCTTTATTGAATGAACCTATTCCTGAACAAAGTACTTTCTGGCAGTTGCAATTTTATCTACTTTGACAAATCCTGGCAAAGTTGTATAAATGATAATTTATCACGTTAATTTTGATTATGTAAGGATTAAGAGGAGTAGTTGCTTTTTTGTAATTAAGAATTTTAAGTGGCACATATTATTGAACATTTCATTTTTGAACCCTTTCCTGAACAGAAACAAGCAAGTTGTAATTCTGTCTTTTTTGATAAATCCTAACAAAGCTTGAGTGCATGTTGACAAATAATCCAGTTTTCCAGAATGCCAGGAGGTGGCAGTGCAGCCCCACTCATCGGGAGCATTCTTACCGAGGGCCCGGCCAAAACCCAGATGAGTTATTGACGTCCATAATCAGCCTCTCATTTGGCATATTTCTCTCCACCGTTGGCACCATTTAAAATAATCAACACCACTATGATGACTCAATTTCTCGATTCCAAGTAGAAGGGCTGTTGTGGGGTGTGTTGGTAACACACTTTTAATGTGCTAATTCTCAAATGCATTCTCCAAAGTGCTCATACCCCACTCCAGAACGGCAAGTGCCAAAATGATATTAAAATCGACTGCCAAAACAGAGTCCACTCTCTTTTCCAAAAAAAAAAAAAAATTACATATCGAGGAGAATTTGAAACACTTGGCTGTTTCGCTTACTTCTCTATAAAAGTCAGAGCAATAGTTTTGACAAGGGACTTCATCTCAAGTGTATTGTGATTGATGTGCAAAATCAAATTGATATTAAAACAAACTTAAACGGTGCTTGATATGGCAGATGAACATGGCTGTAACCTACTTATCAGTGCTAAAATGAATTAGCACTGCTGTAGTGATTAAACAGAGAAGTATATTAATATACAACAAGGACTATTCAAAAAGCACTAATTACACAGTATTGGGCAGGTGAGCATCTACCTTTTAACTTGACTATAGTGCTCTAATTTTAGGTAAGGATTTAGGAGAGGTCCTAACATGTGCACAGATATTCAGTTTGAAAAGTGTTGGAGTTAAGCTTGTCTCGGTAGCCTAATTATAAAGAAGCTGTAAGGTTCAGTGGTGTGATTTGAGAGCTAGTTCAGAATTGGAATATTAGAAATCCACTGACTAAAGAACCAACGATCTTTCTGAACCAAAGCTTTGTTGCTTACAAAACTAATGTCTGAAATAAAGGCTAAAGTGTAAACATACTTGCTTTTTTTGATTAATTATGCATGTAACTTTTCGGTGTTACCGGAAGCTGTTGGTTGACTTACCTTTGTTATAGTACACTGAAGAAAGATTTTTTAATTAAATTTAATTTTGTTTTAAAGCTTGTGTCAGCTTGTGTTCCATAGTTCTCATCCTTTGGATGCATTGCAGGCTAGAATAAAGATTAGCGTGGTTTTTCATTGGTGATGCATAATGCATTACTCAGTGAAAACTGAATTACTTGACTAGATGCAGATTTTGCAGGTGCACTGGTTTTGGTGGTGTGCACTGACCAGAACAGTGCTGATCCCACACAATGAATTGAGTTACCAGGCACGGTGGCTTCTCCATGCACATCCAGGTTGTTGGACTGTTGGAGGCTGATGTTGTGTCTACCTGGATGGCTTCTGTCAAAGCCTGCAATCGCACATTTGCAGATTTGGTTTCTTTTTTTATGTTCCTTTGGCTAGACCCTTTCTTTTGCTTGGTTTCTTGGGGGGCTTGTGTCCCTAAGGAGGGCGGATAGGGGTGAAAATGGGCCCCTGCTCTGGGAGAATGGCCCGAATCTTTGGGCCACTTCTCCTCAGGCCGCCGGGCTGTGTGAAAGGGAGAAGGGTCACCTCAGAGCGGCCGGAGGTGTCGGCTAACATCGGCCGTCAATCAAGCGCCGGAATATCCAAACTCCAGGGACTGCGTCCAGCGACAGGTTAAATAAACCCCCGGGCATATGAAAACAAGACGGACACTGAAGGGCTGAGACAAAGAATGGGATTTGTAAGTGCCGTTGTGAAGTGGGAGATTTCTAAGCCATTCATTAGGTGTATTTTGGACAAAATGAGTGGAGTAAAATAGATGGAAAAGGTAATATAAATTAGAAAATATATAAATAAATAATAATAATGCCGACTGATGAAATATGAAAAGCATTTCACTGCAAATGGCTCTCGTCTCCTGAAGAAGTCTCTTTTTACCTGAGGCTATTTTTGGAGCATTTTGTTTGGTTCCACGGCAGAAAGGTTTCACTGTAGTGGGTTTGAACTGAATATCATAGTATTTTTATTTGTGCCTCACACTGAGATTTAGAGCGCAGCAGGAATAAATGTGGCTAAGACTCACCACTGTTCTTGAGTGAAAGTGCTAGAGAGAGCGTGATGTTTCATGGAAGGCATAAGCGATGCCATGCTCATTCAAAGAGAAAGGAGAGAGAGATTCTTGAAAGATGTTGAGGTTGGAAGACAGGTAGGCTGGTGCGTGTGTGTGTGAGTGTGTGTGTGTGTGTGTGTGTGTGTGAATTCTTTTAATTTGATTGGCTGGTGTGTGTGCGTGTGTTGCCTGTAAACATTGTTGAATTATTGAAAATGACTCTTCCCTATTCCCTGAACACTTCTTTATTAAAGGAAGAAAACAAAAAACCCAAAAGAACAGTAATATGTTGTTTTCTAGCTACCACATGCTACACCTCGGCCCATTACAATAAGCTATTTTGCTCTGAGCATTATGCTAATGCTTTGGCCAATTCATCTATAATTCATCGTTTATATCTTTGTTTTGTTATGGTACACTAAGATTCATCATTTTTCAGTTTGCGTCGTATCATGCCTGAATGTGTCTTCTAGCACATTTACATCTCAGCCTGTAGTTTAGTTTAGGCGGTAGATGTTATAAGTAAGCAGGTTTGTGTGTGTGTGTGAATACATATATATATATATATATATATATATATAATATATATATATATATACATATATATGATGAAGGTTCAGCTTTGTGTATTACAAAAAAATCCTTCAGATATTGTGATCTACAGTTGTATGCAAAAGTTTTGGCACCCTGGTCAGATGACATGTTTTGTTGATTTTCTGAGTGAAAAGAAGTTAACACTTACTCTACAGAGAACATATTTACAATTCAACACATTTTACTGCATAATTACTCTTGCTGAATTTAACATAGTGGAGAAAAAATCTAAAATATAAAAAATAAAATGTGTGGAAAATTTTTGACACTCAGCAAATATAGAGAAATTGTGCACTACAATTTGCAGACAAATACCATATTTCTGTTTGTTCCATGTAGACGCTGTGTTTTTTTCACAAGATTTGATTGGAAGTGTTCAAACTTTGGCACAAAACTGTTCTGTATTTTGTTTTGTATTTAGACATTTGTCTGAAAGTGCAGGACTGTGCTGAAGTCATGTATGGCCATATTGCTGTTTGTGTGGTATACGTGTGGGGGAAGGTTGTGGCCATCAGTAGGAGACCTCTCTGTGCTGCAGTATCTAGCAATGGAGCAGGCTTTTTACAATATAAAGTTTTTAACGGCTTGAAAACTGACACGTTATCCGTAACAACATACTCTTTTTGTTCTCCGGCAATCTTACATTCGCACTGCATTAATATTCATTGTAGTAAACATCATAACTCATCAGCTGTTTCATCCTGCCAGATTCATTATTATTATGGGTGAATGAAATTGTCACACCCTGCTGTGCTTCATATTCAGTTGTAAATATGTTTCGCAAAAATAATCAATGTGTGGAAATTTTCATCTTAGTCTTGTGCTTTTTTCGATGAGCACTTGCATGTCCCTCTTTGTAAGTGTGCTTTTTGATTAATAGCTATTACAAGGAGAACATAGATGGATTCCTAAGGTAGGGCTTGCATATTTTTTATTGTCTTGTTTTGCTAATTAAGAATGAGCACATTCATTCAACTATGGTGGAAGATGTGCTTCTGTTTCAGCTGATTGCTTGGATGTTCACAAATTAATATTGCATATTCACAAATTGCTGTATGTAGAGATTGATAAGATAATCTGGATGTCTAAACCTCAATCCATTCACAAAAATGTGTAATTGTTACTTTGTTCAGTCAGCAATGGCACAGGATGGATTATTCTTGTATAGCTGCATCCTCGTCTCCTCAACAGAGCACGAACATTTGGTCATTTGAAGCCGTGTGAGGTATCTGGCGGGTTACTTTAAATTGGGTTAAGGTCAGGGTCTGGTCAGGGCTTGGTTTTTGATGTGATGAGCATACATGAGTGTTACTGAGAAATATACAGGATTATTCACACTAAGGTCCAGATGCACTTAAAAGGCACAAGCTTATCATTTGCCACCACTGAGAAAAAAATTAGGCCTCTTGGATATTCCTACTCAAATTTCATTCATGATGAACAAAACATCATCAGATATAGCAAATCTGGTTGTAAACTGCATAATTTAGACATCATAACTTTCCTACTATTTAACCACGATATAAGCACTCTTTTCAGGTACTTACAATATGGGATCATGTGATGTGAAATGAAATTAATGTACACATGTACGAGGAATAAATGGATGAGGTATAGAATTAGAGAAATGTCCTGCGCAAGCTTCCCTCTGATCAGTTCTTTTATGTCTCGCCTTTTGTCTCTCTCTCGCTCCGTCTCTCTCTGTCTGTCTCCGCAGCTCTTCATAGTAGTGGTGTGGAACTTTGAGCTCTACATGATCCCACTGGCTCTGCTGTTGCCCTTGGCCTGGAACTACATCCTCATCGCCTCGGGAAAGGACACCAGACAGGGAGACGTGGTGAGTGTCCCTGCACACGCTGACCCTCACTGCCATCCCAGTCTGCTTCAGTGTTGCCTCAACCTACTGCAAACACTCCCTTTCTTTACTTTAATTCACAAGCTGGAGTATCTATACCACTATTTTTAAACCTATTTACATTTACAAGGTATAATGAATATTTGCTAAAGTTTAATACAAGGCAATTCTAGATTCTGGAATTCCACACAAAGGAGTTAAACGTAATATAAAAATATGCATTTTTTTTTCTTGGTTTGTTTTTCCAGATTGAAAATTTTTGCTTATGGAACTTGGTTAGGAAAAGCAATTTGGAAATATATACATAAGTTCACATATACTTACAAATAGTAATATTTTCAATAATTTCCAATGATGTTTTAAATTATAACTAGGTTTACATAAATAGCTATATAAGTAGCTAAGGTGCACATTTATTTATCAGAATGTAAGAAAAATCTAAGATCAATATAGAAAAAGAGAAGAAAAATACAACAATCTGCCTAAATTATAGTGACTTAATATTCTAATTATTTATAGTCTGCTTAACTGCATAGATTGTACTTAATTAGGTTTTGCTTAACTCCTTAAAGAAGAGTTTTTGCAAATGTTTTAAAACAGCAGCATCATCCATTTTATTGCAGTGTTTACTCTGGAAGAGTTTTTAATTTTCTGAAGAAAAGTTTTTTTCTTTTTAATGAATGTTTTTCATTTGCAGAACAGGTGGAAATAATAACTTCTCACCTCCAGCGATTCTGAGACACTCACTTAGTTTCTTGTTTATTTGTGTTTTTCCAATTAAATGGTGCCAAAACAGTGCTGTGCTAATACTGATATTTTTTTAATCATGTGGAGGTGATTTTTAAAAACACCCAAGTGAAGTGTGGGATGATGCTGTGTGATTGCATGTTTCGTTTAAATGCTCAGTGGTGATTTACAGAAAAAAAATCTAAAGGCTTAGTGACTTTTCAGAGGGGGTTTTACTACTGAAATTGTGAAAGAGAGATTTACTGAGAGATAACTGAATGAATTTAGGGAAATGGTTTTACGCTTATCAAACTAAGTCGTTCCTACTATGAATAATTCTATCCTAGAAAGTATCTAGGAGACGCATTTAATAAATGGAATGAGCTTTTGAACTACATTCTGGGTGTCCTGGAAACATACAGTTTTTTTTTTCCTTTTAGATAGGCTCTATTATTCTATCTGTTATTTCATATCTTATACAGCTGTAAGACTGTCAAGGTGAGCAGACGAAAGAAAAAGGTAGCATTGTGTAGAAAGGAGAGATCAAATCTTTTTGCTTTTCAGTACTTGCAGTTTCTGTTTTGTCCTGTAGATGGCGACATTGTTTGCAAAAATTCTGAAACCAGACTCCGTATACATTTACCTGGGTATTCATCTTCTATGTGCATTTATCTCTGCTTTTTTTCTCTTCTGTTTAATTTGAACTAATAAATCAAACGCAGAATGAGGTAAACAGCAAAGATTGCGTATTTACATAGTTAGGACTAGGCAACGTATGCAGACACTTTGCTTATTACATATGTACCTCTTGTTATGGCTTTAAGGACCCTCTGGTGAAAAATGCGTCATTATGTATTCCATACATTCACACATTGCACTGTTCTTTGTTTCTGTTACCTTTGGACCTATTTGTGTCAGGAGTCAGGGTTTCAGAGCTAGGTAATGGGTCAAGGGTTACAGCGTGGGGATCCGTGGATGTGAAACATATGAAGGGTCTGAAAGCTGGGGGTAATGCTTTTAACCCTCCTCACCACCACCCCAACCCCCATCCCTCCATCTTTCTTACTCTCTATTGTTCTGCATTTTGACGACTGTAACCACAACAGATGAGCCGCTGGTGGGGCTGGCAAGAGCCAAAGAGTTCCGCTCGCCGACACAATAAACAAACACGCACGCACACACATACACACATGCACATACACATGGGATCTGCTTTTCATTAGACTGAAACCCGCTGATGAGCCACAGCCTGGCCACTCTCTCCCAGTCCATTTAAAAAGGGAAGTTACTTTATTATGAACTCTGAGGGAATGACTTCAAGTGTTTTTGGACACTTTTACGTGTATGTAATGCATGCACATATATTTCAGAACAATAATGTCCATGCTTATACGTTCATGCTCATATGTAGACACAAGTACAACTAGGTGTTTGAGATTAGCACTACTAATCAGCTCCAATTTCCATGTGTCCACTGCTATATTCTGTCCACAGTCCACTTTTTACCTCTGTATAATTATTTATCAGCAACTTATCAAGAAGAAGCTGATCCTTTCTAGGTTATGTTTTCTGCCAGCTCTTGGTGTTGAAGGTGGACAGCGCTCAGTTAAGTGATGAGCTTTCAAAATATCCCCCTAGTAGAAGTTTATCATTTATTTTTTCATCACTTGAGTGGAGGTGCCAGGCTCCCGGTACCTGGCAGGATATAATTTGAGATAGTGTTACATCTAACCCTCCGCTGAACCCGCTGACACATAAATGCAGGCTGCTACTACAGTGTAGCAGTCCAACCTGTCTCTCCCTCAGAGTTAGACAGGAGCTTGATGCAAGTCATGCCGTCATAACTTCCTAATAGGCTTATACAGTATCCAGATAATGTGTAAACATCTATATGGGGTATTATGACCCACACTATGGATATTATTAATGGAAAATAGGAATTATGTGACTCAATTTTTGGTTCTTTATTTTCTAAACAGTTTGAAAACACCAGGTGCCTTTTACATTATGTGATCAGTTCATGATGAATAGGCCAGGAGAAATATTAAAATTTACTTCATTCATGTTTTTTCCTTCTCCCGTTGAGTTTTGATAAATGATCTAATACGCAATAACTGAAGAAAGTGTTTGTCTCAGAGATGTAAAACCTGTGTCCTCTTCCTGTTCTGTGCAGTTGTTATCATTGGGTAGTGTCTATATCTCTCAAGCTTTTTACAGGAAAATCTATTGAATCGTTCAATTAGTCAGTCTGTAGTGTTATTCCTAATGTGGGAAGGACTTTTGATGCATGCTGTGCAAATCTTTTTTGCTGAGTAGATCTTTTTGTTCAGTATTTTATGACTGTCCGCCTTGTTTGTGTGGGCATCTGTTTTACTGACTCCATTACTACTGTAATACATCCTTGTTGCCTTTGCTTTGTGTTGCAATTATAAAGTATAGGCGATTAAAGATATAGCTTTGTACATACAAACACACACCCAGACGCTCCATATGTTCTGCTATCAGGAAGATTAATGTACATTGTCACTAATATAGGATGTTCTTTGTTGAAGTCTGATAGGATTTCTCAGTGTTGTGGTGGGAAGTGGCGTGCTGTCTTGGAATGAGCCTCTGGTTATGTGGTTTCCTCTATAGACTGTTTATAAAACTCCAGTTGTAGCCCTGATACAATGGAGAAAAAGGAGAGGGAGAAAGAACCAGCAATTGCTAATTGCTTCAAACAACATGTAAAATTAAACCATTGTCCTTGGCCTAAGGTCAACGTTTGGAAAGCTAGATGGATTCCACAAGGCTGAGATTGGGCTAATACTAAAGGAATTTTCCTTGAACTCTCTTTGGAAGACACAAACAGTCATGCTAACACTACTCTAAACGTGGAGAAAGATCTCGAGGTCTGCGCCTCAGAATAAGTATCCATTTTTTTATTGTATGCCACAACCACAGGCTAGTATGTTCAGGAAAAACAAACACCCACTTTCAGCTGTCATTTCCTTGAAGAGGGTTGTTAGCTCGAGGGTTGACATGCTAGCTCAACTCTTAACCTGTAGTCAGCTGACCCCTGACTCTCATATTCTTTGCCTGTGCTCCGCCTGCCACCCCTCCACCAATTACCTGACCCCTCTGTCAGAGTCTGTTATTGTTAAAGGTTCTTTTTACCATCTGGGAAGGCTATGCTCTAAACACGAGACTATACCCCTGAACTAACGTCTCAAAATGGGAGATATTTAGTAGGGCTGAGGACTGTATAAGTAGGTTCCTTTGGTTCCTAAGAGAGGTTTTTTCCAAACCGCAGTGAATGGATATCATACAGATGAATTGAAGGGTTCAGGCAGGGTGCCACCACCTTTGGATGCAAGTCAGACAGATCATGACTTCTGAACCAAACCTGTCGATCATCGGAAACCATCTGGGAGAGCGAATATGGAAAAAGCCACAACGGTCTCTATAAAATATGCTAATGATACTTTACACTGGTTGCAAAGGAGACCCCTACTGGTGAGGGTTGGAAGGGCCCTCAACCTCCAGGTAAGAGAGCCCCCTACTCAGTAACCCAAGCCAGGCTGACAGTACCTGTCAATGGCCAGCCCACTCCCTGCTGAGAGGCAGCGCTCCTTGCACCTCCATTGACACTCCCACAACTCCCCCTCCGGCCTCCAGCTCCATTTGTTTGGAGACTTGAATGTTTTGGCGGGCTCCGGGACAGCCGCTTGGGCTCACTCAAGCGTTGGACAGCTCAGCTGGAATGGAGAGGATGGGGCTCGTGGCTGGCCCTGGAAGACCCAGACTGCCGAATCCACTGGCCCGGAAAACAGTTTACCAGATGTTTTGAAGGTGTTAATTATAGCACGTACTGTCAGAGCTGGAGAAACATAGTGACATCTCTTTCACTAGCCCATAAGCAATTAAGCATTTTAAGGTCCTTCTTGGCAACCTTGTCAGTGGTTGGGGGGAGAGGGTGATGTACTCCTAGCACTTTTTCCCCCTTCTGAATCTTTTTCTGGCAGCTTTTCATGCAAGCTAAAATAAAGTAGTGAATAGCAACACACAGTAGCTACAGTCATGTATCTTGCACTTGTAATTTAGAAGTAAAAGCTCACTTATTTGCATATATCTATATGCACCAGCAAATATATTCAAGTTTCATAGAAGAGTTCCAGTCACGCTAGAAGTATGATGAAAAAATCCTTGTTCATTATTATTCATGTTTTTTACTTTCTCTACATTTCAATATAGCATCATTCCTAAATACTACGCAA